TTTCATTGTGGACTTTATTTACTGGCATAAAATCCTTCATAGTTTTTTTTTTTTTTTTTAAAGATTCATTTATACATACAAGAACTGGGGTGCAAGCCAGAGGTGCGGGGGTGGTGGTGGTAGTGGTGGTGATGGTGAGAGGATTCACCAGAGACAGGGTGGGGAACAGAACAGGCAGATCTATTGTAATACAGTGGTGAGGGGAGCAGCTGGAGAGATAGGAGAGGTCTACCGCACCATGTGCATTAGCTCCCTGGCTGGGAATCGAACTCATGCTGCAGTGGCTGCAGATAGCTTCATAGTGCTGAGACTTAACCCCTTGCACCATCAGGGAGGCCCCATAGTTGCTTCTTGCCCTAAGCATAGATAGAAAAGTCTTTTTTTTTTTTTTAAGATTTTTAAAAAAGATTTATTAATGCATACAAGAGCTGGGGTGTAGGCCAGAGGTGTGTGGGGTGAGAGGATTCACCAGAGACCAAGTGGGGAGCAGAAGAAATATACTGCTGAGGGGAGCAGTGGGTGAGACAGGAGAGGTCTGCTGCGCCATGTGGGTCAGCATCCTGGCCAGGTATTGAACTCCAGCTGCAGTGGCTGCCTATAGCTTGATAGTGCTGAGACTTAACCCCTTGCACCACCAGGGAGGCTGATAGTATGTCTTAACATGACTGTCCTCCAACTATTCCACTCGAAATGGGCCAGTCCTATGGCTATTTCCATAAGATGACAGTTAATGTTATTAACTTCCTATGGTACCTTCTGTGGTCCCTTGCAATTTACAATTGTGCAATTATTTTTCTCCTATCAAACTAGTCCATGAGGCAGAAATTGGGTCTATTTTGCTTGCTTTTGTAGCTTTAGAACAATACACCTAGCATAATAAGACACTGAAATATTTTCTTGAATAGGCTACTAGTGATAAACAGTGAAACTTACCAAACTTAGCTGAAATGTGAGTTCGAAAATGATAAAGAGGAAGTAAAATTCTGATCACTTGGGATTTTCATGTTCACATTAGTAGAAATAGTTTGGGATCAATGAATTGAGATTCCCTTACCACTTGCTTGTAAATTTAGGCAAAATATTGTACCTCTAAAGTCTATTTGCTCATCTGTAAATGACAATAGTAACCATGCCTTTCTAACCAGTTTTGCTAACTTCAAAGGAAATTGCAAAAACTACTTTAAATTTTTTTAAATAAAAATGTGAAGGATAATTAATATAATAGCTATGTCCTCTCAGAATCAAATTCAGAATGATGACAGAGTTACAAGAGAAAAAAAAAGATACTTAAAGACAACAAGACTTTTAAATATATTTCTAATAAGGGTAAAGATGAATAAGAAAATAAAGTATACTTATTAAGCATGATCTCCCCAATAGCTTCATACTGATGAGACTTAATCCTTTGTGCCACCAGGGAGGCCCCAGTTAATAGTATTCATATACTTAATTCACCAAGTCAATACTGAGTACCAAAATAGGCCTGGGATAAAGAAGTACTTCCTGGTGGAAGAGAGAAATTCTAAGGATTACAGTGCAACATTGCAAGTACTATAATTGAAGCAAAAGGTGACCTGGGAGCATAGAAGAGAGGGATATTTCAATATAATGAAGAGATAGGTGGTTTGTCAGGGAAAGATTTCTTAAGAGCAAGGGAGGGCCTCCCCAGTGGCACAGCGGGTTGAGTGCAGCGCTGTGAAGCTGTCCGCGGCCTCTGCAACGCGGGTTCGATTCCCAGCCAGCCAGGGAGATTCCCATATGGCATGGCAGACCTCTCCTGTCTCGCCCGCTGCTCCTCTCAGCAGTGCTTTCGTTCTGTCTGCCTCTTCTGTTTCTGGCTCTGTCTCTGGTGAATCCTCTCACCCTCCCGTGCCTCTGACCTGTACCCCAGCTCTTGTATAAATAAAATAAATCTTAAAAAAAAAAAAAAAAGAACAAGGGAGTACTGGTGGTAAAACTTAGAGCATACATAGGAGTTACTGCATAAGGAGCATAACAGACATTCCAGACAGAAGGAATAGTGGACTACAAGGTCCATGAATAGCATGAAAGACTGGGAAACAAGCTTTTCAAACTAACTAAAATGAAGTCAACATGGTGTTAAGAGAAGTAGAATCCAAGCTAGAGAGTTAGTAAGTCAGATCATGAAAAACTGTCTTTTGAGTACCACCTTAAGGAAAAATCTTTACTGCAAAGCAGGGGAATATTTAGTAATTAGGATGATTCACAATTGGTTGATCATGCCCAGGAAGCTTGAGTGGTGGTGCTATGTCAGCCTGGAAGGACACCACTAATGCTGTGTGTTATATAGAACCTTGGCTGGATCCAATTCTATTTAACATTTTATCTATAAAATTGATGGTGTGATCTGGTAAGCCAAAGCATATAGTGTTAAAGATTCCATCTTGACAAGGATGAAACAATGGGAAAATCTTAAAAAAGAAAATAGGCTCTCTATTGAGGGTAATGATATAAAGCGATCCATGTTGAGAAAATCAGAGCTAGCTGTCTCCTGAGATCCTTTCACTTTTGAAATTCTATGATTCTATTTCCTGAGAACATTGGTCCTCCTTTTATACCTACCTAGGTCTTCTAATTTCTTGATGCTCATTTATTTCACCTAGAAAAAAGTCTTCTTTTTCATTTTAAAGTATAGGTGCTATACCACATTTTTCATGAAACTTAAGATACCAGTAACAAGTCATAATTTTATGTACAACTGAGAAAAATGCTGCCAAATACAATTTAACAATATTTATTGTAAGACAATCAAATTTCAGTGATATTAAAATGTAAAAAGTCATCATAGAATTGATGAAATCCATCCTTTTTTGAGTAGAAATGGTAATGAGCCTCAGTATCACATTGCTCTTAAAATGGACTATTTCCTCAAACATTTTATAATCACAAAGGGTACATCATAATGCTATGAAATATATACCTTTGATAAGGTTCTGTGATTTATAGGTAACTAAATATTAAGGGCTACTTTGCAGCATTATTTACTATTCTAGAACTTTATTAGTTTGATTAAACATCTCAACATCAAATCAATATTAGTATAGTTGGGGAGCTGGTCTCAGAAGAAGCAGATCTAAAATGCTCATTTGTAAATCTTTTTTTCAATAGTGTCAGTTCTATATAATATTGTGAAAATGATTTCACTGGCAAATATTAAAATGTAGATTTGAAAGACTTTTGCTAAGTGGATACCAGGGGGAGAGGCTTGAGATTAAGATGACTTTCTGGTTTCTAATTTGAGAAACTGAGCAATGAAGAGATTCACTGAGATAAGAAATGGAAGAGAAAGAGACTAGGAAAAAGATAAGTATCAACACTCATCACCAGGACACCTAATTCATTCAAGCTGTTCTCTGTAGATCAATGTGGATCTGCATGTTGTGTCTCCATTAGTGATTAGAGGGTCATAAACAAATACAGCATTAGAAGAGATCTTTAAAATCCTTTAGTTTATATCCAACTGCTCTCATTCATCCCAAAACAGTATTTGAGTTGCTTTCATGCTCTCTCTGAAATGACCATCTAGGGAGATTACATATCTTAACCTCTCTCAGCATTAGTTTTCACAATTTTAAGATGGAGAAAAATAATACTAATAATTACCTACCTAGGAGAAATCAGATAATAGAAAATATCAATGCCTACCAAAAGCTCAAGCAGTCCTTAATATCAGCTTAAAAATGCCAATGTTGTTTAGTTTGTAATCCATTAATTATGAAATCAATTTTAGTTTGTCCTGACCAGCGATTTAAAGAAATGAAATGCAATACAGAAACCTTGTGTATTATTTCATAAAACGTATGTTTCCATTTGTATGTTGACATCTATGCATATGCATTTGCTGGGTCACAATGTGAAAAGTACTGTGCTGAGTCAGGTAGAAAGGTTGAGAAACACTGCAGCACACAGTTATTTCTATGCTCATCTTCGTGTTGAAAGCAGACATATATAAAAAATTATTTATTTATTGAAGACTGGGGTGAAGGCCAGAGGTGGGAGGGTGTGGTGAAAGGATTCACCAGAGACAGAGTAGGGAGCAGAACAGTCAGGTACACTGACATACACTCTTCAGTGACAGGAACTGCACCATATGTGGGTTAGCTCCCTGGCTGGGGATCGAACCGTTGACACTTAACCCCTCACCACCACGGAGGCCCTCTGCCATTATTTTTTTTTAAAAAGCCACTTCTGCCAAAGCTTAGAAAGTATAAAATATTAAGTATTTCCGTAAAATACGTATCTTTTCCTATTTTAGCACAAAATTTGGTATCTAGAAGGCTCAAAAATAAACACTGATTCAATCAGGAACTATAACTAGTATGAAGATCTATACACTAGAGGTTCTTAATCTTTTGAGTCAGCCTTTTTGAGAAATCGTTCTGTTTTGACCTTTTCCAGACGTGCGAAGCACTCAATTACAGATCTAAGAATCTCCGGATCACTGCTCTCTAAAGGTCTAAGGACCTGAAGAACCCAGAAATAAAGATACTGAACTCCTGGCAGTCAGTGTGTCAGGTCGAGAGCGACGGCTGCACAGAATTGGGTTACTTTTCAAGTTCTACTAATGCCAGGGTTCTAGAACTGCGAGGCGAGGCGAACAGCGGGGGGATGGAAAGAGGCGCACACTGGAGCCACCCTGTTCCGTCCGAGAATTCCGGGGACCACTTCAACATTTTTTTTTTAACATACGTCAAGTCGTTTGAACGTCACGACTATCCTATCATGCTGTAGCTGCAGCTCGGAGGGACTTCATGATTTACCTGAAACGAAACAGCCGTGCGCTCTGGAAAAGCGCCCTCCGAGAGGCAGCTCCAGAGCGCACCGCGCGGGCGGGCGGGGCGAGGCCGCGCACGCGCACCTTGGCCGCGGCGCCGACGTCCGCGGGTTTCCTCTCGCAGCCGCCCTTCCTCCCCGGCCTGTACGGTGGCCGGCGGGAGCCAGACGCTGGGGATGAATGAAGGTGCTGGGTGCAGGTTGAAACAGTCAGCTCCGCTTTTCCCTCCCTTCATTTCCGGTTTTGCCTTTGTGCCGGGTCCCCGTCCAGCCGGCGTCGCTCTGCCGACTCGTTAGGTCCCGGCGCCCGCGTTCCTGGTGCCCGGGTCGACTCCGGGCACGGCTGGGGCGTGGGGATTCGGATTATCGCCTAGGCCCCGTTTCGGACCGCGCTCTCGACTGCTACTGCGTCCCGCCTCTAGGGCGCGTAATCCGGGTGGTGTCCCGGGAGGTTGGAGGGTAGTTTTAAGGTATGAAGCTTCCGCTTCTCAGGCCTCAGCGCGTTCTCCGGTCTGTAGCGGCACCCGGCCGACTTTTCTCAGCCTCTGAGGCTGCTTGGTTCTCACCATGCCCGGGGCGAGACCTGTGGTGAGCCCAGAGGTCTCACCAGAGGTCTGGGCGCCTCTGCTCCAGCAGTGAGTTTCCTCCTGTTGCAAGGCCAGCTCTTGCTTAGGAGCAAAACAAAGTGTCTTACCACGACTTAACCTGGATTCTGCCTGTCTGCAGGGCTTAGAGGGGATGGCTTTGGCTCCATACTCCCTGCTTTTTGGGTGTCTGCTGATGGTGACTGCTTGCTTGAAAACAGAAGTGCTCAAGTGGGATTCATCTTTCTCCTATAGTACTTGCACGCAAACAGCTGTTTACAGCTGCTTTTTTTTTTTTTAACCCAGTAACACAGGACACACGGGATAGTGTTTTGACCTCTAGAACATTGTACATCGCTTTGCTTCTGGCTAGTGAGGTGACTCAGAGAGGGTGGGAAAGAGAATTCTAACAGCTCTTTGCATATATAGGCACGTGAAACCGAAGAGGTATAGAAGAAGCGCTTTCTTACCGATGTGCTTCATTTACTTTTATTTATTTTGTGGATCTCATATGCCTGGTGTATTAAGTCTTAGAATGGGATTTAGTAGATGAGGATTCAGCCTGGACTTTGCCACTATCTAGTAATATTTCTGTAGGCCCGTTACTTTATCTCTCTGGGCTTCATACTCTTGGTCAAATAAGAGTATTTGAACAGAAGATCCTTAAGGCCGGAGGAGACATTAATATACTGTTTTCTTTCTCGTTTTCCAGATGGTGAGAGAAACAGGGATCCTATAATTGTGCCAGGAATATTGCCAACATAGGGTCCTACTAAATATAGACCACATTTTGCAGGATTCTTAAAAGGAGTGTTCATATATGTCAGAGTTAAACCCCTACTTTCTTTTTTTTTTTTATCATTAGGATCAACAGTGATGATGACTGAGTGTACAAGCCTGCAATTTGTCAGCCCTTTTGCTTTTGAGGCAATGCAGAAGGTGGATGTTTTTCGTTTGGCATCTTTAAGTGATCCAGAATTAAGACTTCTCCTGCCCTGCTTGGTGCGAATGGCACTTTGTGCTCCTGCTGACCAGAGCCAAAGCTGGGCTCAGGATAAAAAACTCATCCTTCGTCTTCTTTCTGGAGTGGAAGCTGTCAACTCTATTGTTGCATTGTTGTCTGTGGACTTTCATGCTTTAGAACAGGATGCCAGCAAAGAACAGCAACTTAGGTAATGTTATATTATATATGTGGATTGGGATTTACTTGGATTTACCAAAGAAGAGGAATAATTTTTTTAATCTTTCAGAGCTCTTTATTGAATGCACTTCTTTAGAAAAAAGAAGACTGAATCTAAGCTTTGGAAAGCATGTTACTTAGTTCTTTTCTAATTGTACTTAAAATTCTAGGATTTTTTTGAATCCCGTATCATCAAATTTTGTGTAGAGAAGTTTGGCCAGATATGCTGTCATATTCAGGCAAAAGTGATTATGACATGGCAAATAGGAAGGATGAGTTTGCCTAGCATAGAAGGATTTATTGGAACCACCTGGGAAGCTTTTAAAGCTTACATTGATTTCCCAAAATTTGAGCATGTGTTATATCTTTCCCTGCCCATTGTGAATCCATTGGTGAGCCACTGTTAATGGAAGTGGATGTTACTATCACTGTGATAGTCTTTATATAGGTTGTGAGTCCTTGAAATAGGAAACTAAATAATACTTCAGAAGTAATACATTAATGAAATTTATTAAGAGATATATATTCTTTTGTAGATTATTTCAATAAAAGATAGTTTTTTTAATTTTATGCTATTATTCTCTACCAGTGTTCACATAATTGTTTTACACTTTTGTATTTTATTAGGCATAAACTTGGGGGAGGCAGTGGAGAGAGCATCCTGGTATCACAACTTCAGCATGGACTAACATTAGAGTTTGAACACAGTGATTCACCTCGTCGATTACGTCTTGTGCTTAGTGAGCTGTTGGCGATTATGAACAAGGTGCATTTATTTTAATCACAAATCAAAATATGCATGATTAAATGTCTGCACATAGAAGGTAGAAACAGGCAGTTGCATCCTCTTCTACATGTATTTTTATTTGGTGTGTGTGTGTGTGTGTGTGTGTGTGTGTGTTTTTAAATTTATTTATTTATGTGTACAAGAGCTGGGGTATAGGCCAGAGATGCGGGGGTGAGAGGATCCACCAGAGACAGAGTGGGGAACAGAACAGGCAGACTGAGTACATTGCTGAGGGGAGCAGTGGGTGAGACAGGAGAGGTCTGCCTCTCCATGGGGGTTTTTCCCTGGCCGGCCGGGGATTGAACTCATGCTGCAGAGGCTGGGGATTGCTTCATAGTGTGGTGCTTAACCCCTGCCACCAGGGAGGCCCTGTTGTGTGTTTTCATTTCAAAGGATGAAAGTATGTTAAATGCCTGGCTTAAAATATTTCTTTCTCTAATTACTTTTTTTCTTTTATTGATGCCTATTTTTGCATCTTTATCCTAGGGATTTTTTTTTTTTTTAAAGATTTTTTTTTTTTTTTAAGATTTATTTATTTATTTATACAAGCACTGGGTACAGTCAGAAGCGCAGGAGGGTGAGAGAATTCACCAGAGCCAGAGCGGGGAGCAGAGCAGGCAGAAGGACTGAAGTACACTGCTGAGGGGAGCAGCAGGCGGCAGGAGAGGTCTGCGCGCCATGTGGGATCCTCCTCCGGTGGCCAGGGAGCAACTGGGAATCAAACCGGTGCTGCAGAGGCTGTGGGCAGCTTCGCAACCCAGCGCTCAACCGCTGCGCCACCAGGGAGGCCCTAGGGATTTTTTTTCTGGATGGAGTCCAGTTGTTCCTGATACCAAATTTCCAAATTTGATAATACCTTTATAGGATAGAATTCCTCCATAAAATGTATTGAAGTAGAGCTGAAAAATGTTCTTTTAGACAATGAATGAGCAAAAATTACCTCATATAACAGTGAAGAGGGAGTACCAAAGTTGACTTGGCTATCGGATCACTGGTTAACCTCACTCACTAAATAACTGAATTACTCCTATATATGTTAATGAAGACTAGTCAACTTCCCATCAAATGATAGATTACTTTAGGTCATGGACCTTTGGAACTCTGAATTTTAAATTTGTGAGTATCAAGAGTCTGCCATACAAAGAACTAAATTGGCTTTTCTTTTTAAGAAGATGTACATGAGATTAGGCCCAGAGTTTCATAGGCAAAGTTATTTACTGTTAGAATTTCAAGTTTAGTTAATTTGTAACATATAAGGTTTCATTTTATGAGAAGACTGAATACATTTTTCCAAAGAAAATAGCATCAGGGATATTTTAGATAGTTTTTAAGATATGCTACAAATCTTTAAAACTTTTTTATTACAATTATTTCCCCTCTATTCTATTGTACTGATACTCTTTTAATTTATTTATTTATTTATTTATTTATTTAGTTTGTTTGTTTTGTTTATACATGCACTGGGTACAGTCAGAAGCGCGGGAGGGTGAGAGAATTCACCAGAGCCAGAGCGGGGAGCAGAGCAGGCAGAAGGACCGAAGTACACTGCTGAGGGGAGCAGCGGGCGGCAGGAGCAGCGGGCGGCAGGAGAGGTCTGCGCGCCATGTGGGACCCTCCTCCGGAGGCTGGGAGCAGCTGGGGATCGAACCGGTACCGCAGAGGTTGCGGGCAGCTTCGCAACCGAGTGCTCAACCGCTGCGCCACCGGGGAGGCCCGATACTCTTTTAATTTCAATCTTTCTCCTACATCTTTTTCTTAATACTTCACTTGATGGCTATAATAAAATAAATGACCTTCTCTAGGAGGTTTCCAAATTTTCAGTTCAGCATTCTTTAGCATATGGGAATGTGCTAAAACTATTGTAGGACATTTTCAAAAAAATTAATAGGTACTTTTGTTGACCTAAATTTTTATTTTTTGTTTTTCCCACAGTTAATTCAGAATTGAATATGAATGATACTTGTTATATTGCATTAAGTTTAAAGGGTTCTTTTTGCTTTTTATTTATTTATTTTTAAAGATTTATTTATTTATGCATACAACTGCTGGGGTGCAGGCCAGAGATGATTCACCAGAGACAGAGTAGGGAGCAGAATAGGTGCATGCACCAAAACACATTGCTGAGAGGAAGAGCGGGCGAGACTAGAGAGGTCTGCTGCGCCATGTGGGTCACTTCCTTGGCTGGAGATCGAACTTGAACTCCTGCAGTTGCTGTGGACAGCTTCACAGTGCTGCATCTTAACCCCTTGTGCCACCAGGGAGGCCCTTGCTTTTTATTTTTATTTATTTTTTTTTAAGATTTATTTATTTATTTATACAAGCACTAGGTACAGTCAGAAGTGTGGGAGGGTGAGAGGATTCACCAGAGCCAGAGCGGGGAACAGAACAGGCAGACTGACAAAATACACTGCTGAGGGGAGCAGCTGGCGTGGGAGGAGAGATCTGTGTGCCATGTGGGACCCTCGCCAGCAGCTGGGGAGCGAACCGACACTGCAGAGGCTGCGGGCAGCTTCGCAGCCCAGTGCTCAACTGCTGCGCCACCAGGGGAGGCCCCCTTGCTTTTTATTTTTAACTACAGCATTTCTACATCATTTTTGGGCTTGCTATAAATCCAGATGTTTCTAAATATATATATAGAAGGAAATCATTGAGACCCATACTGCTCTCTTAATAATAATTATTGTGACTACTAATTATGGTTAAATTTTTTCAAATTTGTTGAATACAGCATATTTTGCTGCAGTATATTAGTGACATGTTAGTAGACATGGCCTGGAAGCTTATGAAATAATTTTAAAAATAGGATTGATATCATTACGTAAAAAGTAATAGAATTTGTCATTCCTTTTTTGTTTTATTTAAAGGTGTCTGAGTCCAATGGCGAATTTTTTTTCAAGTCATCTGAGCTGTTTGAGAGTCCAGTCTATTTAGAGGAAGCTGCAGATGTACTTTGTATTTTACAAGCAGGTATTGTAATGAATGCTGAGATACATTTGAGAGATACTTTCTTATTAAATGATATGGTGTAACTTCTTAACTTGGAATGTTGTTATTTTAAGGGTCACCAAACAAGTGCTTTAAATATGGTTGACTCCATAGTGTAACTAACATGTTATGCATATTATACAATTAAAATGATATATTTGAAAAAATTTAATGACTTTAGAAAATGTTCCAATATGTTAAGAAAAATGCAAAGGACAAAATGGTAAGTAGAATGTAACTCAAATTTTGTTCAGCTAAATCAATCCCATAGATGGTTTAAAATGAAGTATTTCAAATTATCAAATGAGTCATGGAATTAGAGCTGTTTTTTTTTTTTTTTAAAGATTTATTCATTTATACATACAAGAGCTGGGGTACAGGCCGGAGATGCTGGGGGTGAGAGGATTCACCAGAGACAGAGTGGGGAACAGACAGGCAGATTGACTGAAGTACACTGCTGAGGGGAGCAGCGGGCGAGTCAGGAGAGGTCTGCTGCACCATGTGGGTTGCTCCCTGGCTGGCCTGGGGATTGAACTCATGCTGCAGAGGCTGGGGATTGCTTCATAGTGTGGTGCTTAACCCCTTGCGCCACCAGGGAGGCCCCTGGTTTTATTTTTATTCTTTGCAACTTTTTGCATTTTCTACATTCTTTGAAAGAGATGTATATGCTCAGATTCAAAAGATAGAGGACATTAAAATGCAAAGCTTTTCATGAAAATGACTCTGTAGACCAGCAGTGTCCGCTGTAGCAGTGGCAGGGTTCTATATTGTACTTGTTCAGTAGAGTCACCACTAATTGCATGTGGTTATGGTTTATTTGAAATGTAGCTGTTTAAAGGAGCTGAACTGTTTAAAATTTTATTTGCTTTTAATGAATTTAGGTTTAAGCAGCCACATGTAGCTGGTGACTATCCTACTGGACAGTTCAGCTCTAGACTGTGAAAAGAAAGTACCTTAATTGCTTGTAGGTGACCTTGCCAAAATGTAAGACATTTAATATATAGTACAAATTAATACTATTCCTTAGTAATAACATTGCTTTGTTTTCTTTTAGAGCTCCCTTCCCTGCTTCCAATAGTTGATGTAGCTGAAGCCTTGCTACATGTTAGAAATGGTGCCTGGTTCTTGTGCCTATTGGTGGCCAATGTTCCTGATAGTTTCAATGAAGGTAAATAGATTTTAAAGTAGGATATTGAAGAGATTCGCTTAGGCATGTGGAGGACTTTTTTTTTTAAGATTGATTTATTTATTTATGCTTAGAAGAATGGGGTTGTAGGCAAGAGGTGCGGGAGGTGAGAGGATTCACCAGAGACAGAGTGGGGAGCAGAACATGTGGATCTACTGAAATGTACTGCTAAGAGGAGCAGTGAGTGAAATAGGAGAGGTCTGCTGCGCCATGTAGGTCAGCTCCTAAGCTGGACATTGAGCTCAGGCCTCATTGGTGATAGCATAATAGCCCTGAGACTTAACCCCTTCGCCACAAGGGAGACGCAGAGGACTTATTTTTTGAGCTAAGAAACATTGATTGATTTTTTTTTTTCAGATTTTCTCTTTTGAAAGTTTATTAATGATTATCATTATAAAAATACTGAGGTTAGTGATTTCAAACTTGTTTTCAGATTACAAAATTAAGTATGGTGAGTATGTAGCAAAATTTTTTCTTAGCTGTTAGTCATCAGTGATATAAATAGGACAAAAAATTACTGAAGATCTAGAAGATACGACCCCTGTGTCAGAGAGCAAAGAAGACATGCCTATGTGTAGCTCTTCTAATACAATGTAATATGCTTCTTATGGTTTCATGTTTCCTGATTCTTTTCTTCTGGAGTGTCTAATCTGTGTAAATGATTGATATTCAAGACAGAAAAAAAATGGTTTCTAATTCTTACTTACACAACTTAAAGTAAAAGAGGCTCTTAAATATTTAGTTTGTAGGGGCCTTATAAAAAATGGAGAACGACAAGATGAAGAAAGTCTCGGAGGAAGGCGCAGGACAGATGCCTTACGCTTCTTATGTAAAATGAATCCTTCTCAGGCCCTCAAAGTCCGAGGCATGGTGGTAAGAGATATTATTGTTTTTCTGAAACAAAAGCCCTTATGTTAGAATCAGGAACTTTTCTGAAGATAGTTTTAGAATCTTGTAGATACTGGGAATTACAGCTCACGTACTGGATATGTCTCCTTCCTCTCTGGATTATTATGTTTTGTGACATGTCTCTTTAAACTCTAGATGCTTTGGAAGCATCCTGGCCTTTTTCCTTGTGATACTGGGTTCAGTTTGCTTTCTTTGCTGTGATAGGTAGAAGAATGTCACTTGCCAGGTCTTGGAGTGGCTTTGACGTTGGATCATACTAAAAATGAAGCTTGTGAAGATGGAGTGAGTGACTTGGTTTGTTTTGTTAGTGGTTTGCTTCTTGGAACAAATGCAAAAGTCCGGACTTGGTTTGGAACTTTTATCCGAAATGGACAGCAGGTGAGGGATAAATATCTATATAGGCTAAGTATCAGGATATTTTGACAAAGAGAATGAAATGCTTTCAAAATGATACCATTAGACAGAATTCTCAAATGTAGTGTATATTAGAATTTCCTTCCCTTTTAAGGCTGAATAATATTCCATTGTATGGGACATTTTATTTATCCACTTGTGTGTTGATGAAATATCTTACTTTTTTTTTTTAAGATTTATTTTATTATGCATACAAGAACTGGAGTACAGGCCAGAGGTGTGTGTGGGGGTGAGAGGATTCACCAGAGACAGAGTGGGGAACAGAACAGGCGGATTGACTGAAATACATTGCTGAGGGGAGCAGTGGGTGAGTCAGGAGAGGTCTGCTGTGCCATGTGGGTAGCTCCCTGGCCAGGGATTGAACTCGTGCTGCAATGGCTGCGGATAGCTCATAGGTTGTGTCTTAACCCCTTGTGCCACCAGGAAGGCCCTGAAATGTATTACTTTTTGCAATAGTTTTTAACATGCAAAATATTTTACTTTCCCATAAAACATTTCAGTCCCTGAGTGAACAAATATAGGATAATTTACTTGTTGAGGTCATTGAACTAGAGAGTAGTATATGTGTACTGCTTTTTTTTTTTTCTGTTATTTAAACTTTATTTTTTCTCTGTAATTCAAACTTTTTTTAGCTTTATTTTTTTGTTACTGACTTACCATATGTATCTAAGTTCTTCTTTATTTCTAGTCTATTTGAAAACTAATTTTAAGTTTTACTTTTCACCAGGAAGTTATTTGTATGCCTTCTATGTGTCAGGTGCTGTGCTAATAAGTAAACATTTGGTTTGCTCATCTTTCTTCTTGTGCTCCATGCTTTTATCTCTTTGTGGTCCATATTTCTTACAGAGAAAAAGAGAAACCAGTGGTTCTGTCCTTTGGCAAATGAGAAGGCAGCTGCTTCTGGAATTGATGGGCATACTTCCCACAGTAAGAAGTACCCGCATTGTGGAAGAAGCTGATGTGGAGATGGAGCCCACTGTTTCTGTGTATTCGGGGCTGAAAGAAGAGCATGTTGTGAAAGCCAGTGCACTCTTACGTCTGTACTGTGCCTTGATGGGGATCGCTGGACTCAAGTATTCAATACTTTGATATTATATCTTTTTTTATCATTTAACTTTCTTATTTCTAATCCCAAGAAAGTGAGCCAAAGTCCACTTTGTGTACATTTAGAGGATTTGGATTTTCTGTTGCACTAAGGTAGTGGGCAGGTGTATATAAAGAATGAAATCCCAAGGCTTCCTTCATAACTGGAATGTATCCATCAATTTTGGTTTGTTGTAAATAGAATTATGTAAATATGGGAGGAGCCAGAGCAGTTTAAGAAATTTATGATTTCACTACAGCTTGACATGACTGTAATGAATGATCTCATTGCTCCTTTACCTAGTCCATGCATCTAGTTGATGTATGTTTCTTTTTATAACTAAGATCATGAATTGTTTAAAATTCATCTGATAAAATTATTAAGCATAAGGTTTCTTAGTCACTGCATATATTCTTTTGAATAATGTTCTCAACTGTTGTACATACTGTCCTCACCTTGCATGTCTCTGATAAGAATGAATTTAGTTACTGTGGTTTAGTTAAATAGCACTGCTCCCTCAACAGCTAATATAGCAGTTACCATGACACATTAATTAACTGAATAATTGTGTGGAGTACAAACTTTGCCAGGAGCTTGCCAAGCCACAGATCGCTACTAAATAACTGATTTAAGTCATAAGCAGCGACCAGTCACATCTTTTAAAGTCTGTCCTGACTAGTCACTGCACATCTTTTACCAGGTTCATGAACAGTCTACGAAGTGGATAGTTTTATTGTCACTTTGTCTATCAGTGATAGGTCCAAGTGACATTTTCTAAAAATGCATAATTGAAAGAGGATATTATCCAATAAAGATGAAAGTCTTGCAAAGAAACTAAATATGGTAATGGTGCTATAACAGTTAAACCAAATGTCAGTAAAAGAAATAGCAGTGAGAATGCTGATGCTGCTGCCACTTGAGGGACTGTAGATATGTAGCCAGATGAACATAGAAGGTGAACTTTTAACATAAATAAGGAAAATCATTGTGACAGCAAGGATATGTCCCAGAGGAAGTGAAGCAGGCAAAAATCTTCACATTAAAGGAACTCTCGGGTATTTCATGACTGAAAGTAGAATGGGTAAAATGTTGGAAGCCAACTTGTACAGAAGTGTCCCAATTCATCAAGGTTTAGAGAAGTTCCTCTTTACATTATAAGTTATACAAGAATAAGAAGGCAAGGACTGTTCAAACTACTCTTGATAATTTTTTTTACCAAACACTTGAATCCCTAGTGTTTAATATTTTCATTTATAGAGTATATAAATATTAGTTTGACTGTATCTTTACTTACCTATGCATTATAACTTACAGTTTTTAATGTTTTGACCAAAAAAAAAAAAAAATAGCTAAAGGTCATGGAACAATTATAATTTCCCCCATTGATCATTACCATCAAGTTGTATAGTTTCAGCTTGTTTATGTTCAGCTTCTTACAACTATGTAAAGCGTAGACTACCCTGTGTGTGTCTGAGTTGTAAACTGAATAGTTTTGCTCTTGACAACTTAAGATGTTAAAGATTTTATAAATAGTGAGGTATTTTTACAAAGCTCTAAGTTTGTATCTGAAAGGTTAAACTGTTTGGAAGATCCTTTTCCTTCCTCCCCCTACTAAAAAATGTAAAGCCTAATGATGACTTCCTTTTTTAGACCAACTGAGGAAGAAGCTGAACAGTTATTGCAGTTGATGACAAGCCGTCCTCCTGCTACACCAGCTGGGGTTCGCTTTGTTTCACTTTCCTTTTGTATGCTACTGGCCTTTTCTACACTTGTCAGGTACCTATTTATATAAGTGGCTCTGTTTTCTCAAGGACTGCTTTTATTTATTAAAATGCATGTGTAATATTTATTAGGAACTTAGTCCTAGGTATTGATAGTGGTTTTATCTTCTAGTAAAAGGGTGGCATTATCATTTACTGTAGGCTAGTCACTATTTTTAAAAGATTTATTTATTTATGCATATAAGATCAGGGGGTGAGAAGATTCACCAGAGACAGAGTGGGGAGCAGAAGAGGCAAATCTACGGAAATATACTGCTGAGGGAAGCAGTGGGTAAGACAGGAGAGGTCTATTGTACCATGTGGGTTAGCTCCCTGGCTGGGGATTGAACTCCTGCCAGTGGCTGCCAGTAGCTTCATAGTGCTGAGACTTAACCCCTTGTGCTACCAGGGAGGCCCAGAATAGTTATTTAAGGTTTGTCAAGGCAAATAGCAGTCCGTACTCTCCTCCTCCCTTTTTTCCTTTCCTTTTCAGTTCTTTTAGCTGATTCCTTTGGTTTTTGATATCATATCTTTTAATAACATGTTTGTATATGCTAAATCTTGATTTTTCTTCAGTATTGTTGACTTCCCACTATGAATAATGAGGAATTCTCTTTTGTCCTCTCTGTCCCCAACATATTTACATATCACCTTCCCTTTCTCTCAGTACAGTTAAAATTTTGCAATATATAGTTTAATTAATTAATGTATAGTTGTTTATATTACACTACTGAGAATCCAGCCATGTGCTAGGTGATTACTTTTCTTATGCAAAACTTGTATTTTGCATTAATAATTATCTCTGTTAAAAGTTTTTCTGGGTGTACTGTGAACCTATAGTAATGCGGTATCTAACTCTACCAATCTAAACTTCCTCTCAAGATGTTCACACTCATTAGATAGTGTGTTTTCTTGAGGAAATCTGTCTTGGAGCATTCTGACCTGCTCCAATTTGAACTGGTTGTCTTCTGTACCCAGTACATAGCTCTTGTCCTGGAATTCCTCTTCACTCTCATTTTGTTAACCTCTTCTATGTTGGATTTCCTGTTTCCTGCATTTCATGTTTCCATCTTTTCTGAAGATACCTCTATTTAACATGGTCACTTGACTGATAGTTTGATGGGATATAGATTTCTAAGTTGGCATTAAATTTCTTTTGAGAATTTTGAAAATCTTGTAACTTCCGATGTTGCTATTAAGAAGTTTGATAACATTCTGGTTGCTGATCTTCTGTGTGACCTATTTGCCTTCATATGGAAGCATGGAGGATTAGTTTTTGTCCCGAGGGTTTTGAAATTTTTGGATAAGCCTTATTGTGAGTCTGTTTTTGTCATTTTCCTTTTTTTTTCCAAAGATTTATTTATTTATACAAGAACGAGGATACAGACCAGAGGCATGGGAGGGTGAGAGAATTCACCAGAGACAGAGCAGGAAGCAGAACAGGCAGACAGACCAAAAGCATTCCTGAGGGAGCAGCAGGCGAGGCAGGAGAGATCTGATGCGCCATGTGGGTATCTCCCTGGCCGGCTGGGAATCAAACCCGCACTGCAGAGGCTGTGCTCAACCTGCTTCACAGTGCTGTGTTCAACCCGCTGTGCCACCGGGGAGGCCCAGTTTTTGTCTATTTTCTTAGGTGTTCAACAAGTCCTTTCATCCTGCCAATGACCACTTATATAGATTGTCAGTCCTTTAAATTTAATCTATCTTCATTCTCACTCCCAGAACAGCCTGCGCCATTTGGAGATTCTATGGTATAAAGTAGATTGGTTTTCCCTCTACCAATTTAACATTCTGCTTTCTCAGCTCTGCCAAGTCACTTCCCATTCATCTATATGCACTCTAGTTTCCAGTATTTTGTGTTGTTGCCTCTCATCACCATCCTATGCATTGTACCTTTTAAGAAAAATTCCTGTAGTGTAGATTGGAGTCATAGGAGGGTGTGAAATTAGGTTCATGAAATAAAGTGCCTGCTTTTTTTCTTTTTACTTAATTTGTGAATGTCTCTAATGCTCATTACTTTTATAAAATGAGTATTTTTATCTGTATCTTATAAGTAGAATGATTAAAGTGCAGAGAGCTTATTCACATTTCTTCTTCAAGGTTACTCTATCAGTAATGAGCAGACATGGGATTCCCACTCAGGCCTGGTCGACTGTAAAGGCTGTAGTCTTTGTACTATGTAAAACATTGTCTTTTATTATTTTTTTTTTTATTTTTATGATTTAGTATGACTGACAATGAGCAATTTGAGTTCATTTTTCAAAATAAGGAAGAATAAATAATTTTTAATAAAAATAGTTCCAGAATGCTTTCTTCTACTTATGTTAGTATATCTGATTTAAACCAGTGATAATCTGGTGTGTTTTATATAGTACACCTGAACAGGAGCAACTAATGGTAGTGTGGCTAAGTTGGATGATAAAAGAAGAAGCTTATTTTGAGAGGTAAGATGACTTCATTAGTTTCAGTTAATTAAGTTTTTTTAATCCTCTCTTCGGAAACTCATATTTTCTTTTCTTTTTCAACAGCACTTCAGGCGTCTCTGCTTCTTTTGGGGAGATGTTGTTATTGGTTGCTATGTACTTTCATAGCAACCAACTTAGTGCTATCATTGACTTAGTCTGTTCCACTTTGGGGATGAAGGTAATTGTCCTTTATGATTTTTCTTTCTTTTTTTTTTTTCCTAAAGACTTATTTATTTTATTTTTGCATATAAGAACTGGGGTGTAGGACAGAGGTGCGGGTGATAAGAGGATTCACCAGAGATAGAGTGAGGAGCAGAACAGGCAGATTTACTGAAATACGTTGCAGTGGGTAAGATGGGAGAGGTCTGATGCAATGTAGGAGGGTTAGCTCCCTGGCTCAGGGTCTAACCTAGGTCACAGTGGTGATAGCTTTGAGACTTAGGCCACCAGTGGGGTCTTTATCATCTTTCTAAAGATGTTTCTAAACTGGGTGCTTCGTAGTGCAGAGTTAATAGGTTGTTTATATTGTGAAATAATTTCAGTCGTTTAATAGTTTGACAATTTATCAGGTGCTCTTTGAGAAAAATATGTTTTGGAAATACTTATTTACAAGAGTAATAATAGATATTTAGTGTAGAAAGCTTGAAAAATAAAAAATAAGGGAAAATGTAACCCCTTTGATCAGATAAACATACTAATGTTAATATTCTGGTGTTTGTACTTTCTTTAAGTTGATATACATATTCTGTAATTTTAAAGAACTTGCCAATATAAGAACTTCACTCATATCAATAAATATTCTAATTCAGTACCTGATAGTCATACATTATGTGGACTAGTCTTGATTTAATTAATGGATCTTATTTGCCATGTAGATTTTCTGATTCTCAATAGTGCTTAAATATTCTTATTATGTAAATACATACATACATAAGCATTCACACATGTATATCTTCTAACACATTTGGATTATTTCCATAGGATAAAGTTCTGTCAGATTATTTTCCAGAAAGATTATGCCAGTGTAATTATTCTCATTAATGAATAAGCATGTCTATTTTCCTAAACTGTAATCATCACCAGACATTCCCATTTGTTTTAATCTTTGCAAATTTAGTTGACAAAAACTGTTCTTTCTTATTTTTCATTTGACTACTAGTGAAACTGTAGTTCTCATTTTTGTTATTATTTTTTATAAGTTTATTTCATAATTTTTGGGGGGGTAGTTTTTAAGAGCCATGTGTTTTGACTGATTTATTTCTCTTGTGGAAGACTTATCAATATCCCAGTTTTTTCATATGGATTTTTATTTATTTTTCCTTTTGCTAATATAAAACATTCTTTATATATAAAAGATTATGCCATTGTGCCTTATATATCATATTACATTGATTTCAAGACACATTTTACTCTATATTGAAATTGGGATTCATTTAAAAACTTAGTGTATAATATTAATTATTAATTCCCACCCCAACATTTTTTCTTGAGAAGTATTAAATCAGTGATGTCTTTTAATCCTTAATGTCTTTAAAAGTGAAGGGGTATGCTTTGTTGTGGTTGATTTCTTCCAGTTGTGGCAATTATTTTTGGAGTAGTATTTTAACAATTTTTATTTATTATATTTTTAAATAATAAATATTAAATGCATTAAAACATTTTGTGATTCTTTGCTGTTGTGCTTAAAAATGTTTTTCTTTCTTAAGATTTATAGAAATGATCACCTGAATTTCCCTATAGTTTATTTGTGCTTTCATGTTTTGCATTTAAATCTTTAATACATTTGGGGTTTATTTTGGGTCTGTTGTCATGTGTGCAAATCCGTATATATATATCCCCCCCAGAAATGTAGCTATCCCACCTCCATTTATAGAATAATCCAAGTTTTCCCACTGACTTGAAATGCCAATAATGGTATTTATTAAGTATTCTTTTATGTTGGTTCCATTTCTGCAGAAAAACACACTTTAATGTAAACTTGAGAAATCACTTCTGTCCTAGAGTATTGAACATTAATTTTATAACAGACATTTTAGATAATTGACCAGAGAAAATTGTACTTCATTTATTATATTTTCTAATGTTTTTGGAATTCTTCTGGTTGTTTTAGATTGTAATTAAGCCAAGCTCCTTGAGTAGGATGAAGACTATCTTCACACAGGAAATTTTTACTGAGCAGGTACAATACTTTCAATATCTTTATTAACATTTTTTTTTTTTTTTGCAGCATTCTTAGGGGAAAAGTTATATATTTCAGCTTAAGAGAATAATATTTTTCTACTGCTTCTCAGTTTCTAATGCTGATTTATTCTTTGAAACTTCATTAAAGAATGAAGTTTCATTAAAAGTACACTAAAAGTGGGCCTCCCCTGGTGGTGCAGTGGTTGAGCGCTGGGCTGCGAGGCTGCCTGTAGCCTCTGCAGCTCCAGTTCGTTCCCCGGCCGCTGGTGAGGGTCCCATCAAAAAAAAAAAAAAAAAAAAAAGTACACTAAAAGTTCATTAAAAGTCCATTAAAAGTACACTTTTAGGGCTTCCCCTGGTGGTGCAGGCAATTGAGCACAGCGCTCTGAAGCTGTCTGCAGCCTCTGTAGCACGGGTTTGATCCCGGCTGGCCTGCAAGAATCCCACATGGCGCAGCAGACCTCTCCTGTCTTGCTTGCTGCTCCCCTCAGCAGTGTATTTCGTCAGTCTGCCTGTTTTGTTCCCTGCTCTGTCTCCAGTTAATCCTCTCACCCTCCCGTGCATCTGGCCTGTACCCCTGTTCTTGTATAAATAAATAAATTTTTAAAAAATACACTTTTAAAGCTGCCTAATATATTCAAAAGTGTTTTTTAAATTTACATTATTTTGGAGACTTTGAGTAGAGACTTTAGAGTACAGTCTTAGATATTTATGGTGAGGCACTCACATTGAGTAATCATTTGGATTTCTTAGGAGAAAAATAAAATAGAGGGCTATTGAAACCTCTAGATTACAAAGTTTCATTTCTAACTAGACTTCAAGCTAGTTTTAGATGCCTTGTTTAAAAGTCACTTAAATTCTCTTATTTGGCTGTAGTACTTTTTGTTCATGGTTAACCCTAGGGATATTTTATTTTTCTGTGAAGGACACTATGCTAAAATTTAAAATTAATTCTTAGAGATTCATTTGTCAATTTAAATCTCAATATTAAAAATATATATGTCTTTAAAAAATGGAGCATTTTTTAAATGGAGAGGTCTGCTGTGCCATGTGGGTCACCTCCCTGGTCGGGGATTGAACTTGTTTTGCTGTAGCTATGAATTGCTTCATGGTGCTGACACTTAACCCCTTGCACCACCAGGGAGGCCTTCCTAATTCATGAATTTTTAAAAATAAATTTCTTCCACCTTAACAAAACCTTTCGAGGCAGATAAAATAGTTTTGTTCAGTTCCGTATTGTAAAAACAGGCTTAGGAGGTGAAGTGACTTTTCCCAGGTCTTTGAACCCAGATTTTATGATTCTGGACTTTGTATTTTTTATCTTACTTACAACACTGGCAACACACACACATATTTAAAAATAAATTTAGAAAATTAAAGAACTTTATAAATCCTTTAATGTGTGCTATCTCCTCATTCAAAAATAATTGAAACAAGTCATAATTGGTTTTTATCATTTATTCCTCTGTGTCACATTGTATTAAGTATTAGTATTCTACCTCCTAATCCTCCCTCTTACAGAATAATTTTATATTTGTTTCTATTATATGTATTAATTCTCTTTTTTCTTTCTAGGTTGTCACAGCTCATGCAGTTCGGGTCCCTGTCACCAGCAACCTGAGTGCCAACATTACTGGATTTTTGCCTATTCATTGTATTTACCAGCTTCTCAGGAGTCGTTCCTTTACCAAGCACAAAGTGTCAATAAAAGTACGAATTTACATTTATATTTTGAGCTGCAATCCAAATTAATGCTTTTTTCCTAGTTTTATTTACTTATTTATTTTTATCCTTTCCCAGTTGTATTTATTTTGTAGGTCTTAACTGTAAGTTATTATAGGAAATGTGCCTAGTTGCCAGTGATTTTAATAGTGATAATTACTAGGAACTTAATTTCCGATTTTTATAATATTATAATTGTTATTATTTACAAAATGTATAGTATTGCTAATCCACACAAATTCTCAATAATAGTATATTGCTATTTCTGGAAACCTTAGTAAGAAGTTACATATTCTGTAGTTGGGTTTTGTTCATGAAACAGAAAATTGTTGATCAGTCATGACCAGAATTTGTAGGTTTGTCACAAGGACATCTAACACCTACCTTATAATATATATTTTGATATGTTTTTAATTTTTTATAGTTGGCTATATCAAACAGTTAAAAGGTCCAATAAAGAAAAGATTGACTCCCCAAAGTATCGAAATCTGTTTGAACCTTTCCTAGGGGCTCTTTCACTTTTACAAAGAATAATGAAAAATATATGTATGACATATCACTTTTTAAATTATCCTTGTTTTTATGATTTAGTGGTTATTTTCCACTAAATTGTATCTTTGGCTGCTGCTTGTTTTTAGCAAGTGAAATAGGTGAGAATTAGGATTCCACATGCACACCCAACATTTCTACATATACTCTAGTCATGTATAGTTTCCCATAAGTGTTTGTTAAAGTCATCTTTTAAAAAAAATTGCATTTTTTTTCTTTATTGAGGTAACTTTTACAACAGTGCATATGATTTAGGGTTATAGTTTCATACCTCTTCAGATATATGTTACTATACTATGCCCACCAAAGCACCAGTAATCCTCCATCATAGTCCCTTGGGTCCCTCTTCACCTCTCACTTCTCCTTTATCCCCCCTCAACCCTCTGGTAGCCTCAGTTCCCAGTCATATTTCTAGTGGTTGTTTGGTTTAGTTTTGTCTGTTTCTTTATATTCCAGATGTGAGTGAAATCACCTGGTAAGCATTTGTCTTTGTCCTTTTGACTTATTTTGCTTAGCAAAATCCTCATTAGTTCTGTCCAGTTCCGTCCATGTTGCACAAAGGGCAAGATGTAATCTTCTTTTTATAGCTGAGTACTATTCCACTGTGTATACATATCACATTTTTTTCTTAATTTTTATTGAGGTGATAGCATTGTACATGGTTTTGAGGTATAGGATCCTACCCTTCAGGTACATGTTACCACATGACAGCCACCTTGAAGGCACCCATGGTTTTCCATTGTGTCTCCTCCCAAATTTGCTCTTTCCTTTTCTGGTAGCCTCAGTTCTGTAATCAGATTTTTGGGATTTGTTATTGGTTTAATTTTATCTGACCCTTGTTTTATTTTTCTATATTCCACATACAAGTGGCACCATCTGGTATTTGTCTTTTTCCTTTCCATTTATTTTGTTTAGCATAATTGCCTCTAATTCTATCCATGTTGTTGCAAATGACAGTTGTTTATCTTTTTTGTTTTGTGTATATGTATCATTTTTTCCCAATCTACTCATCTGTTTGGGGGCCCTTAAGTTTCTATAGCTTGGCTGCATATCTCTTCAATTTAGTGTTTTGTATTCTTTGGGTAGAGTTGTAGGAATGGAATTTCTGGATCGTATGGAAGATCCGTTTTTAACTTTTTGAGACACCTCTGTACTGCAAAGTCAGTTTTCTATTTGAGTCTGCCATAAGAAATACCCCTCTCCCTAAATTTCCGTGTTGTGGGGTTTTCTACAACAACACATAGGATGCTCCAAAAACAGATGTAGTAGAGACTTAAAATATTTTTCCAGCTATTTACAAACCAATATATTAAAAATTCAAAGTCAGGTTTCTCATCATTTTACATTTCTTTTCCACTGGGCAATTTCTTGATTAGGATAAAGATAGTTCATAATTTTAAGTCAAAGACAATTGTAAAATTGTGTAATATATTTATAACTACTAAAAGTTAATTGTTTCACAGATTCATAAATCATATAAAACTACTTTTTTTTTTAAAAGATTTTATTTATTTATGCGTAGAAGAACTGGGGTGTATGCCAGAGGTGTGATGGTGAGAGGATTCACCAGAGACAGAGTGGGGAGCAGAAGAGGCGGGTACACTGAAATATACTGCTAAGAGGAGCAGTGAGTGAGACAGGAGAGGTCTGCTGCGCTATGTGAGTTAGCTACCTAGCCAGGAGTGAACTCAGGCTGCAGTGGTGATAGCTTGATGGCACTGACACTTAACCCCTACACCACCAGGGAGGCCCTGTTTGTATACTTTTTAAATATCCCTTACTTTTTCTTAATGTTGTCATTGATATAGTGTCTATAATCTTCTTTTTTAGGACTGGATTTATAGACAACTATGTGAAACCTCCACTCCACTCCATCCTCAATTACTTCCTTTGATTGATGTGTACATAAATTCTATACTTACTCCTGCTTCTAAATCTAATCCAGAAGCCACAAATCAGCCAGTCACAGAACAGGAGATACTCAATATTTTCCAAGGAGTTATTGGGGTAAAATAGTGGTTCTTTTATATTTATTTGCTTATTTTTTCTTTTGGTTTATTCTTCTGACTTATTCTATATGTTCCTTTTGACTGCTAGAGGACTTTTGGTTGGTTCTGAATCTAAAATGGGGTTAAATTTCTTTAGATCACTTATACAAATAAAAGATGGTATTCCAATTAGTTTGTCAAATAGGTACTTTTTGAGGAATTATTTTAAAAGCTACATTTTAAAGTCTAAGGATTACCCTGGAGATTGTGTTTCACAAAAGACTGTGTGCCATTCAAACATACTCAACGCAGGTTTATTTAACTTCCTGGAAACCTAAGGTATATCCAGGTTCATTAGATTTATTTATGGAGAATTTGAAGAAACTCTTTCTTTATTTTGTTAAAAGGAAAAAAATAGTTGCATTTTTCACAGATGTATTTAAATGTACAATAACAGTTTTAAGGTTTTTTTTTAAATCCAAATATGAGAGGATATTTCAGACTCTTCTATGCCTGTTTTAGAAGCCTGGTGGGATGTTGTTAAGTAATAGATGAAGTCTTTTTTTTTTTCTATCTTTAAAAAGACTGTCAGTCATATCTTTTAACTCCCATGTCATCTCAAGTTTAATTTAAACTTCACGTTATCTTTTTGAGTTTAATGCAAACAACAACATAATTTTTCTGTTTTATCTGAGCTTGGGAATAGCAACACCAAATAACCAATTTTGAATATTTTTACTATCAAAATGCACTCATGAAATTTTATAATGTTTTGAAGTGTTTGTAATATTACCTCTAGGGTGACAACATCCGCCTTAATCAGCGTTTTGGTATCACAGCACAGCTATTGGTGCTTTACTATGTATTGTCTTATGAGGAAGCTCTCCTGGCAAACACAAAGACTTTAGGTAAGTTGCGCACAGGGATGTGTTTCTAGTGATGGTTCATTTTATTCCTTTCCAAAACTGCTATATGAGAAAAATAAGATCAAATAGTCTAACAAGCACCAGCATCATCATTCTGTAGTCATTGCATTGTGCACTATGCACATGATATATTCATCTGTTGAAGGAGATTTAAAATTGCCTATATTTTAACAAATTTCCCTTTTTTTAAAGACTTTATTTATTTATGCATGTAGGAGTTGGGGTGTAGGCCAGAGGTGTGGGGATTGGGTGAGAGGATACACCGGAGACAGAGTGGGGAGCAGAACAAGTGGATGGATTGAAATACACTGCTGAGGGGAGCAACGGGCGAGACAGGAGAGGTCTGCTGCACCATGTGGGTCAGCTCCCTGGCCGGGCATCAAACTCATGCTGCTGTGGCTCCATAGTGCTGAGACTTAACCCCTTTCACAACCAGGAAGACTGTAACAATTTTCCTTACCTTATTAATGAAATATAAATCAAGAGATAAATCAGAGGGAAATGTGACTGAAATTTTTTGGCTTAATTTTAGTCTGCCTTGTCTTCCTTCCATTAATGTGAAAAATAACCACCTCTTCTTTTGCTATAAAATTATCACTGAACTGGGCATTCAAACATATCCACTTACTATACTATCATAAGGTTGGATTTAGCATAGAACTTAATCAGTGTAGGGCCTCCCTGGTAGCATAGGGGTTAAGTCTCGGCACTCTCACCTTTCCGACCTTAGTTCAATCCCTGGCCAGGGAGCAGACCCACATGGTGCAGCAGACTTCCCCTGCCCTGCCTGATGCTCCCCTTAGCAGTGTATTTCAGTCGATCTGCCTGTTCTGCTCCACACTCTGTCTCTGGTGAATCCTCTTACCCCCCACACCTCTGGCTTACATCTCAGTTCTTCTACACAAAAATAAATAAATCTTTTTTTTAAAAAAGCTGTAGGCACTGAGTATGTATAAGGCAGGGAAAGTTCTTATAAAGGTGATGGTGGCTTGGGCTGGTATCAATATATGTGTATTTTGAAGGTAGAGTTGAAAATTTCACCCATGAATTCATGAAGTTTGAGAGAGAGGAACCAAGGTTGGCATGGAGGCTTTTGTCCTCAACCTAAAGGATAGAATTGCTATCAACTGAAAGAAAAACCTGGATAGGGAGAGAGTTTGAGGTGGATCGGGCGCTCAGTTTTGGGCATGTTAAGTTTGCGATGTCTGACAGGCTTTCAAGTGGGGATATTAAAGAAACAGTTGTAGGGACTCCCTGTGGCCAAGGGGTTAAGTCTCAGCACTGTCACCTCCATGGCCTGAGTTCAGTCCCTGGCCAGGGAGGTAACCCTCACGGTACAGTTGTGTCTCGTCCGCTCATCCTGTGTAGTCCACTGCTCCCCTCAGCAGTGTATTTTGTTAAATCTGCATGTTCTGCTCTCCACTCTGTCACTGGTGATTCTTCTCACCCCCTGCATTTCTAGCCTGCACCCCAGTTCTTCTACTAAATAAATGTTTAAATAAATAAAGGGAGGTAGTGTGGGAGGAAAACCGAGAATATGATGTTCTGGATGTCAAGGAAAGAATGTTTGAAGGTGGAGGGAGTGATCATCTGTGTCAAGTGATCTTGATAGATAATAAGGTTAATCTCTCAGCTAATGACTACATACAGCTTGCTGGAGGAGTAAAATGGTAGGATGAAAGCCTATTTGTAGTGAATTAAACAGAGATGGAGAGGAGTTGTACTGGAGACAATGAGTAAAACAGCTATTTCAATTGTTGTAAAGAAGACTAGAACAATGATGTGGTAATTGGGGAGGAACATGGGGTCAGAAGAAGACTTTTTAAAGGGAGAGAAGAGAGATTGTCCATATGCTGTTGGGAATAATGGAATAGAGAAGGAAGGTTAATGATGCAGAGAATCCCTGGAGTGATGTGCTTGAAAAATGAGAGGAGATGGGGTTAGAAGACAAATGGAGGGATTGGCTTCTCTTAGAATTTTTTCTCCTGGTTTAGATTATTTTATGGGCTAGTGTGAATAGAATTAAACACATTTCTACAGTTTTGTTGAATATGAGGTTGAGTGTTATATTGGAATCTTTGAAAGCCATACATTGGAAGAAATCTGGAAATGTGTGATTACTCATAGTTACATATATAATCATAGATTTTCTCATGATAATTATAGTTTAGTCTTTTGCTAGAGGACTGAAAATGTCCTTGATGTTGTATGTCACTGAGATGTTAATGAGAAATGATTAGTCAGGGCTTGCCTGGCTGCTAGTTTTTGATGGATTTACTAAAATATAATCAGAATTTCATTTCTAATATCATAGGTCTGGAAACTTAAATATTGATACTTCCCCTTAGCTGATATTGGGAACTCTAGATCTTAATAATCCGAATACCTTGAAATGAAATGAAGGTACTAGCCATATACACTAGGGTGAGGATAAGACAAGAAAGAGAGTGATGGTTGGCAAGATTTTTACTGTTGAATCTAGGGATCCACTGAAGATTTTGAGCATGGAGCCAGAGACATATGTCCAATTAAGTACTGCAGTCACTGTCTGCTCATCATTTATTAAAGAATAGAAATTAAGATGGACTTATAAAAAAAAGATGGATTTATTTATTGGCTTTTGGCAGGAGTTGTGAGAGAAAGAAGTCAAACATTTACATTGACTCTTAAAAAAGAGTCACGCACACTACAGCATATAGTTAAATTAAGCTTATTGGAAGCATGGAGCTTTAAACTATTTGTTTAAAATTTCGTTGGGTCTTCCTAATTGGATTTGGGAGAGTTTTGAATCACTTATTGGGTTGTTTTCTCTCTTTCTTCTTTTTTTTTTTTAACTGTAGGCCCCTTCTGTAGATGACTTTCATTATGACTTTTTTGCCCTCTAATTTCAGTTCCACATTTGGCATTTTCTGAATCTCACCCTTAGGTATATTCTTGCTTTTCCTGTGTATCCACTGTTTTGGTAGTGACTCTTCACCCTTTATAAGCTGTATTCACAGGTTAAGTGAATTATAAGTAATGATATTGTCTTTATTCACATTTGAGTTAAAATTTCTTTTGTTTCTCACACTTTCTTTTGTATATTTTATCTTTGATGATAGCTGCCATGCAAAGAAAGCCCAAATCATATTCTTCTTCTTTAATGGATCAGATTCCTATCAAATTCCTTATTCGACAGGCTCAAGGACTACAACAGGAGTTAGGAGGTATTTGCTTTTTTACTGCTAAACTTTATGGCTAAAAAATATCCCTAGTGTTTATAATGTTACAAAGTATAATATGTGCTCAATGCTAAAAATTCAGACAAGAGTGAAATTCCTCTATACCTTTTTCTTTATTGTTACTCCCTTTACGCAACACCCCACCCCTTGACTTCGCCGCCCCCACCCCCTGCAACAATAGCCCAAGTGTTTTTGGTGTGTAATTTCAGACATTCTTTTCTATAGCTTGAGCCATATGTAATTGCTGGTATTCAACCATTTTTGACCTACAAAACTGCAGTTTCATATGGTTGAACCTAATAAGTACATAGGAGTAAAAAGGTAAAAATAAAAAAAAACATTAAATTGTATTATTCCTTATTTCTTCTGAGACTAAGACTTGCTTTTTTCTCTTGAAGTCTTGGAAATCTTTTCATGCCAGTATGTGTAAATGTACCCTATTGTTTTTACTTGCCCCATAGGCACTGAAGTAGGCAACTTTAATTTTACCCATCTATAGAAATGATTCTCAACTTGGTTTGTGGAGAGGACATGTCTTCCCATAGATGCTTATGACTCACTATTCTGAGTGAGACCTTTTTCTAATTATATTATGCTCTTCCCCAAATAAGCATTCTTTTTTTTCCCTCTCCTACAAACTCTTGAAGTACTACTATATCAAATAATTTTTTCACATGGGAGACTTTTATGTTGGGATAAGGTGGAAGAAAGCTTGAAAAATTTTTATAAAAGCAGTTCCAAACTTCCTGTCCCTCAGATCACTTGGGTGCCTTTACAGATCAGATTCCTTGACTGAACTACTGAACAGAAGTTTTCAGAGTGTGCTATACATGCACAAGAAATGTAAATTCCCTTGACTTTCTGAAAATGAAAGGGAGGAGGGAGAAGATTTTGATGTTTATGAGTGAAAAATTTAGTTGACTTTTTGTAAATTTTCAAGGATTGCATTCTGCTTTACTACGTCTCCTTGCAACAAACTACCCACATTTATGCATTGTGGATGACTGGATCTGTGAAGAAGAAATCACAGGTACTGATGCTCTGTTAAGACGAATGCTTCTGACTAATACTGCCAAGAACCACTCCCCTAAACAGCTGCAAGAAGGTACAGTAATTTGATGCTCCTATTACCTTGTTAGTGTAAAGAGATGTCAAGCTCGTTGAAATCTTAAAATCATGTAGAATTTCTCTGTAGAGATAATGATCTTTTGGCACATATATTTAAAGTAATTCTCTTTGACTTAAAGTAATTTTAGCCATTTCTGTTTGATATACATCTGTTTTGTTGAATGTCCTATGTTAAACCATAGAGGCTGTGTGGTTTTAGAAATATTCTAAATTGTTTCTAAATATTTTTTTAAAAGATTTATTTATTTATGCATGCAAGAGCTAGGGTACAGGCCAGAGGTGTGGGGGGTGAGAAGACTCAACAGAGACAGAGTGGGGAACAGAACAGGCAGATTGACTAAAATACACTGCTGAGGGGAGCAGCTGATGAGACAGGAGGGGTCTGCTTTGTCATGTGGGTTTCTTACTGGCCGGCCGGGGATCGAACTTATGCTGCAGAGGCTGTGGATTGCTTCATAGTGCGCTGCTTAATCCCTTGCGCCACCAGGGAGGCCCTTAACAAGCAAATTTAATTTTAACTATTATCTTATTTAATCCAGTATATCTATTATCATTTCATCATGTAATCATTATGAAAAACTATTTGTGAGCTCTTTTGCTGTTTTTTTCCCATATTCTACCTTTGCAGTTGGGTACATATTTCATACTTAGCACATATTGTTTGGGGATTAGCTACGTTTCAAGTGTTTAGTAGCCAGATGTGTTTAGTAAAATTCTACTGATGAGCATAGTTTTAGGTATTATTACTAACAGCTATTTTCTGGGTGCTTACCATCCTATAAAGAGGGCTACCCAGACAAAAGTATCAAGAAATTTGAATTTTGTAAATAAATGTTACAACTGAAAGCAGTACTTTAGTGTGTTTTCTTCTTTTGTTTAACTTAAAAAATCAGTCTGAATCACCAAGGAAATTACATTTGCTTCTTAAAACAAATGTGATTTTAAAAGTGAGATATTTTTTGTGCTTTGTGAAATAACTGCATTTGTATGACTTTTTTTAAGGTCTTTATTTTTATATTTTGCCAAAGCCATGGTTAGTGTTAAAGTTTTAATTTTTTTTAAGCAACACTATTTTCTTGATTTATTTGCCCTAGATTCTGAGGGGGCAGTACTACTTTATATTTGGTAAATTTTATTAGAATTTAGGTTATGACTGCTAAGTTTTCCCTTTAGCATTTTCAGCTGTCCCAGTAAGTTACACACAAGTGATGCAGATTCTAGAACACTTGACTCTACTGTCCGCAAGTGAACTTATACCATATGCAGAAGTATTAACCTCCAATATGAACCAGCTGTTGAATTCCGGGGTTCCACGAAGAATTCTTCAAACAGTCAATAAGCTATGGATGGTTCTTAACACTGTGATGCCTAGAAGGTAATTATAATACATTGTTACATGTAATGGATACTACAAAGCAGTGATTATGTACAATAATCTAAAGTTAATTGTGGAAAAATATTGTTGAGTATTTGGCAATATAAATCCTTTTCTAAGACTACTAATTAAAGAGTTGTTAAATTTCAAGGAAAGGAATAATAAACATTATCTGAAGAGAGAGAAACCTTAATATATTTCCAATTCAAAAAAGTTTTTAAAAGTGAGTTCTCATTTATAGTCATTTGTCTTTTATGGCTAATTGTGATTTTGATCCCCATTTTTTCTTGCATCATTGCAGTGGCTACACATTATGCAGCACATTAAAATCATCTGTGGAGCTTATAAAACTTCAGATCCCCAAGTTGTACCCTATGGTAATTAAATCAAAATGTTTGTGAGTGGAGTCAAGCATTAATATATTTTTAAAAATTCCCCATGTGATTCCAACATGCAGCAAAGTTTAGAGAAAACCGGCTTATCTTTAGTCAATGAGTGCATAAATTGCATTATAAAAACCTCTAGTCAGTTCTAGAAAACAAAACTCCAGTCCAAGCTTTTTGAAGCCACTTTGAAATTACTTTTATCTCTCCTCCTTGTTGGAGTCCATGTTTTCTGTTTCTTGGTTTCATACCTAATTTTAGTAAGTGGAACGCACTCACTTTTACCTGTAAAAGGGTGTTCCTGGCAAAGGGTGTTTAGGAAAGTTAATTTTTTTGGGACTTGTGTAAATGAAAATGTTTTTGTTTTTCTTACACGTGGTCGATATTTAGGTGTAGAATTACTAAGTTTAACTTCCAGAAATTCGAAGACTTCGTACTACTAAATGAATCACAACTTCCCTTATTGCTGTTGAATAATCCCATGTTCTCCCTTTGTATGTGACCTTGTTTTTTTCTCTGGTTTTGGGTTTTTATATACATGTGTATATGTGCATGTGTGTTTTTTCTGTTCTTTTTTGTTTGTTTGTTTTTTATCTGGTTTTGATTTTTTTATTTCACTGTTTTCTGGACGTTCATGATAATATATTTTGGTTTGGCAGTTCTTTTATTCATAGTTTTGGACACGGGTTTTTTTTTTTAGTCTGGGAATGTATGCCTTCATTTCTTCAGTATTTTCTTGTACTTTTTGCTCCTTCAGTAATTTCTTTGTTTTTTCTGGAGTATTTATAACCTGATTTTAAACTTCTTTGATTTATTCTCTGATTTTTTTCATTTTTTTCTCTTCTGTTTTTTAATCACTTAAATATGCTTTCTGGATATTTCTTCAATGCTATTTTTCTAACCTTTCCTTTGAATTTAAAACATTTTGGTTTATTCTTAATTTTTAAAAATTCTTTTTATATGCCTCATTCTTGATTTTTGTATGAATATTGTATCCTTTAAGAATATTAATTGGTAGGTGTAATTTTTTTTTTTAAGATTTATTTATTTATACAAGCACTGGGTACAGCAGAAGCACGGGAAGGTGAGAGAATTCACCAGAGCCAGAGAAGGGAACAGAACAGGTAGACTGACGAAATGCACTGCTAAGGGGAGCAGTGGGTGTGGCAGGAGAGGTCTGCGTGCCATGTGGGACCCTTGCCAGGTGGCCGGGGATGGAATCGGAGCTGCAGAGGCTGCGGGCAGCTTCACAGCCTAGCGCTCAACCGCTGTGCCACCAGGGGAGGCCCTGTAGGTGTAATTTTTTAATCTCCACATTCTGTTTCATTGAATTCCTTTTTTTGTTTCTATATTTTAAGTTTTTTCAAAGTAGAACCTTTCTTTAAATGTTTGCTTTGCTTTTGGGCTATCTACTCATATTAAGAGTGGGTAAGCTCTGTATTTGAGGTGGGGCTGGTGGACTCCTGGGCTTCACTGTAAGAGATCAGGTACTGTCCATATTGGCATATCTCTCAGTAATTCTGATGTATAATCAGGTTAGTAACCACTTTTATAATTTATTGATGTCTAATCTCAAAGTGACATCTCACATTGAGATTTTATGGTGTAAAATATAGAATAATGGCTTAATTTATGGGGCTATATGTAGCTGTTCTGGTAAGTATTTTATTTATAGCTATTCTATTCATATTTTACAGGCAAGGAAACAGTTCATAGAGACTCAATGACTTACCAAAGCACTATAGCAAGTATGATATATCAGAGGTCTTAATTCAAATCTTTATTTTAAAGATTTATTTATTTATGCATACAAGAGCTGGGGTACAGGCCAGATGTGCTGAGGGGAGCAGTGGGTGAGTCAGGAGAGGTCTGCAGTGCCATGTGGGTTGCTCCTTGGCCAGCCGGGGATCGAACTCGTGCTGCAGAGCCTGTGGACAGCTTCATAGGTTGCGTCTTAACCCCTTGCGCCACCAGGAAGGCCCCAAAACTTTATTTTATATGCCATGATCATTCCATTACGACTGTGAACATTTTTGAAAATACTGTGTGTTTACTGTTTTATCTTTATTTGTTTTAGAGAATAATAATAGTTTAGATTTCAATCATTTTTAGTTTTTCTAAGTTCACTCACGAGTGTTTTCTAATTTTTTTTTCCTGAATGTATCTTTCTTAGAAGAGACTGGATAGCCTACAGAATTCAATTACAATATAGCTGTTTTTAAGTATGTAATTATTTTCTCATCAGGTTGTGGGTAATGACAGTTAATGCACTTCAACCCTCAATAAAGTTTATAAGACAACAAAAGTATACTCAGAATGACCTGATGATTGATCCTCTTATTGTACTAAGGTGTGATCAGAGGGTACACAGGTATGTATCATTTGAGTTTCTTCTTTATTACAGAGTTATATTTAGGGAGTCAGAAGAAATGGAAGAAATTTTGTTTAAATATATATCTTAGATGCAGACAACTGGCAGTGTAACCTGTGAGGTTTTTTTTAAACTGGTGTATATTCATGAAGTAGTCTATATTCAGTTTAATATTGAATGTGTGATTAATAACACCTAACCTTAAAGAAATGTAGTTGTTTTGACAACCATTAGTAGTGGCTGTTCTCTGTCAGAGTCAAGACCAATAAAAACTAATACTGTTTCTGATAGCATTTGAAAAATTTGCTCTTTGTGTACCCTTATATGCATTAAAGCTGATCTTTTTGGCATCTTCAATTGTGATGTTAGTCTCATTTTTTCTATAATGTCACTGATTCCTTGCCAGTTATTGAACTTACTTGGTTTTTTTTTTAACGATTTATTTATTTATACAAGAACTGGGGCACAGGCCAGATGTGCGGGAAGGTGAGAGGTCTCACCAGAGACAGAGTGGGGAACAGAACAGGCAGACTGACGAAATACACTGCTGGGGGGAGCAGCGAGCAAGACAGGAGAGGTCTGCTGCACCATGTGGGTTTCTTCCCTGCCGGCTGGGATTGAACCTGCTCTGCAGAGGCTGCGGACAGCCTCACAGCACAGTGCTCAACTGCCTGCGCCACTAGGAAGACCCTGAACTTAATTGTTTTGAAGTGGCTTTACCTCAAAAGGCAGTATTATTAATTCATGTCATTAATTTGACTTTCTAATTGCTCTGCTAACCAATATCAGTTGAGGGTCCTGCGTTTATCATCTGCATGGGGAAAGTAAAGCAAATAGATGAAAAGTTAAATAATATGGTCATGTGCAGATAAAATCTATAGTAAATGAATGCTGTTAAAATTCAGTAAAGATGTGGAGGGTGTGGTACCTAGATAGTATTTTAAAGGATGGAAATAGGGTTTAGATATACAGATATTTTAATGATGGGCATTAAGGAGTTGGGAAAGGCATTGTGGGAAAAGAATAGTGTGAGTAAATGTGTAGAAGCAAGAGTGAAAAAGGCTTGGTGTGAGAAGAACACACTTTAGAATTCGAATGTTAAGTTGGGATCAGGCTATGGAGGGCCTTGAATGTTAGGCTAAAGAGGTAGTTTAGTTGGTAACGTTTGCAGAGAAGCTTTGTGCTAGTGGTTTAGAATGGGGAAGAAACTGTAGTAAAGAAAAGTTAACTAGGATACATTCTGTGATTATACTCTTCTATTGTCAGCTCTGGGGATAACATTCTTGAGGTGATGAAACCTGCAAATTAGCCACATATGGTTAGACAAGATCAAGGTTTCATGGAAAATATGAATCAGAAGAATAAACAGAAAAGAAAAAATAAACAGTATAAAAATTAAGTTTCTAATAAAAGGAAAAATTACAGTGAATAATACTTCTAGAAAAGAGCCTCTTATAAAACAATTTATGAGTGTTAAAATACACTTAGGTAGATAGTCTGAGACTTGTTTCACCACCAGTCTTTCAGAATATTATTAAAGTATGCTACCATAATTTATATATATATATACATAATTTATGTAATTTTTTTTGTAACCTGGATTTTTCACTAAATAACTCCTGAATCTTTTCTCTTGGTAATAGATATTTTATATTATTTTGTGGAATAGTATTCCAAGTAGATGTGCTATGCTTTAAACCAATCACAATTATTGTATGTTTTGATTATTTTCTCCTGTCATCAATAGTGTTGCGGTGACTATTCTCTGTACATTTTTCCATGCTAATTATTTCCTTCAAGATTCTTAATCTGAAGTAAAGAGAATCAGAAACATAAAGTTTTTAACTTGGGAATGAATATTATAGTGGAAAAGAGTTTTAAAATTCTTTTCAGTTCTTGTTCAGGTTTTTCTCATTCTTTAAACTGATCATATTCTGGCTAATTTATCGATTTATATTTTTTCTTACTTGTTTTTCCTTTTTTCTGTGTTTAGATGCCCCCCGCTGATGGATATTACACTGCACATGTTAAATGGGTATCTCCTTGCATCCAAAGCCTACCTTAGTGCTCATCTGAAGGAAACAGCAGAACAAGATAGGCCTTCCCAGAATAACACAATAGGTTTAGTTGGACAAACTGATGGCCCAGAAGTTACCAGAGAAGAATTGAAAAATGCATTATTGGCCGCTCAGGTAATAAAGTAAAATTTAGTCAATAAGGGAAGAACCTCCCTATTAATATAATTGAGTGAATGTTTTCTTTATACGATGGTCACATATTAGGTATTTTTACCAGAGTGTATTATAATTGTTACCTTTGCTTCTGACCATCAGATGGACTATATTATTAAAATCAGGAATAGTCTTCATGATATTTAATAGTTTAAATAAGATTTACATTTTAGCAGAATATAGACTTGTTTCTTAGAAACAAATGGTAGAAAAAAATCAAATGGTGTAGATGAAGAGAAGTATGTACATAATAAAATGTCAGGCAGTGATAAATGCTAAGACAACAAAAGCAGCTGTTTTATATTTGGAAACTTTTTAACAAATTGATATATTTTGCTGAAGAAATATTAATATGTGTGATTATAAGTTGTTGCCCTAGTCTCTGTGGGATGTACTGTATAATAATACATTAAAAAATATTCTGAGTTTGGGCCTCCCTGGTGGCACAGGGGTTAAAATCTCAGCGCTATCAAGCTATTGCCAGCTACTGCAGTATAAGTTCAATCCCTGGCCAGGTAGCTAACCCACATGGCATAGCAGACCTCTTCTGTCTCGCCCACTGCTCTCCTCAGCAGTGTATTTTTGCTGGTCCTCTTGTTCTGCTCTCTATACTGTCTCTGGTGAATCAGTCCTCTTACCCCCTATACTTCTGACTTACACACTAGTTCTCGTATGCATAAATAAATGAGAAATAATCTTAAAAAAAGAATTCTGAGCTCTAAAATAAATCTGGGTCTCAGAGTTTCAGATAAGGATTGTGTGTAATAATAGCTACCATTTGTATAGTGCTTATATATACCCGGTCTACTCTGAGTTCTTTAATGTTAATTAACTCATTTAATCTTTACAACCAGCCTATGAGATATGGAGTATCATCATCACCACTTTTACAGGTTAAGTGACTTACTCAGAATTACACATACAAAGTGGCAGAGCTAAGATTCAAAGGTTGGCTCTAGAGTCTAAAAACCAAACCAAAAGTGTAACAACCAAAACCCCAAACCCTCTCAAGCCAAGAATGATGATTATAAAGTAAGGCTTATAATTAATTTCTTAAACTGGTAGGTGAAGTAATTATTTTCTCCTGCCCTATGTAATGGCTGTCTTTTAGAGATGCAAGTCATATATCACTTTTTAAAGTTCTTCTGCTAAGTGAAAATGATTATAGCTCTCCTTTGGATGTAGTGACCTCAAGCAGATTGCCCCTCAAGAAACTACTGTTCTGTGAAATGATGGTTAAGCTTGTAGACTGATGGTAATGAATTGTGCAGGAGGAAGGTGTGGTACAGTGGAGTGTTTCCTTGCAGTACCAGATCCTTAAAGAGCCCATTTTCAAATTGGAAAGGAAAAGAGTTACAGAAGGTCACTTTTAGGCACTTATTAGCCATCATTTTCAGAGGAATGAATTGTTTGGTAGCTCACTGAGAAAAAGAGGGAAATGCAGGATGATCGGATCCTGGAAGACACGGGAATTTAAGAAGATGCAAAGGAAATTTTGGTAGAAGCATTTTTTGCCTCAGCCTGTTTTGATGTCACTGGACTGGGTTACACTTTCAGTAGATGTACTTATACTGAAGTCCATGGATCTGCCTTAGAGATACGTGATCACCCTGAAATAAGCAATATGTTTATTTACATAGTTAATTTTATGGGATGAAGGTATGTAATTTTCTTCAGATTCTTAAAGTATTCATGTCCCTAAAAAGGTGAGAATCACTGCCTTATAGATTGTTCACTTTTGCACTTAGAATTCTTTATCTTTGTGTTTTTCTTAAAAAACAGTTATTTTTATTATTTCAGTTCAAACTTAGTTTTTAAATAAACATTTCAGAAACTCCTTAAATTCACTGTTTTATTTGCTTGTAGGATAGTGCAGCTGTCCAAATTCTCTTAGAGATTTGTTTACCCACTGAAGAGGAAAAAGCAAAAAGAACCAATCCAGACAGCTTGCTAAAGAATGTTCAAAGTGTTATTACTACCAACACTCCAAATAAGGGCATGGAGGAAGGAGAAGACAATTTGCTCTGTAACCTTCGAGAAGTTCAGTGTCTTATCTGTTGTCTGTTACACCAAATGTACATTGCAGATCCCAACATTGCTAAGCTTGTTCACTTTCAGGTTTGTTTTCAAAGAATGATGCTTTGTGGTTGAACCTTATTTTGGGGGGATGGGGGCTTTGAATATTAAATTAATAGGGTTCATTTAGGAATTAGAGATCACACAAAAGGCACAGTGGCCTTCTGAGCAACTTTTACAGAATGGAAGTGAAAATCCTCTTTTACAATTTTTTGGCTTCTAATTTTTTTTTTCTAACCTTTCCCTCTTGCTTACTGAAATAGGGTTATCCATGTGAACTTTTACCTTTGACGGTCGCAGGTATTCCATCTATGCACATCTGTCTGGATTTCATACCTGAGCTTATTGCTCAGCCAGAACTTGAAAAACAGGTAAATTAGCATTTTGGAACCTTAACAAAATTTTGATCTCTCTCCAGTCTAGCAAATTATATAAAATTTTTGTAATTTTGAATGCTTAGATGATATCCTTTAGACACATGTAATATTCGAATTTTGTATTGCAGATATTTGCTATCCAGTTGCTTTCACATTTGTGTATCCAGTATGCATTACCAAAGTCACTTAGTGTGGCTCGCTTAGCTGTCAATGTCATGGGAACTTTGCTAACAGGTGTGTGGCCAACCAACATCAACAACAAAAACATCTAACATAAGTTAGTACATATTTTTTCTGAATTTAGTGTCATAAAGTTTTTTCTCTCACTGTGACACACTGTGTGTCACTAGTAGTTAAATTTATGCCATCTTGAATTATTCTTTTGAAAATTTTCCTATTACAACTATAATTTATATAGGGGACATGAATAGGTAGACAAATTTCATGTTTTGTTTTGTGAATGTAGGTTTGTGGTAAACATAAGCTTCTCACATTTTGTAAATGGAAATCAACTCTACTTTCTAGACATAATTATGTTAGTAGAAAACAAGATAGAATTTACTACAAATGCTTAGAATTAGAAAAATATAATCATGTGTGGAAATGAGATAAATGTATTAGTTGTTTCCTTAAGTTCTAAAACATAATTTAACCTTTAAACCATCTTCTACTTTGTAGTGTAAAATGGTATGAAAGTACACTACTTTAAAAATATGCACTATTTTACTATAATTCAATCTTTCCAAGTTAATTAATTTTGTGTTTTGTCAAATGCTAAGATTGTATTCACCTTGTGTATGATTATCTGCAGTAGTTCAATCCCAACTCCACCACTAATTGGCTGTGTTCTTGAACAATTAATTTCTTAACCTAAGGTTTATTTAAGAGTTTCCTCTTTTGTAAAATAGGTATCATAATAATACTTCTCTCATTCATGAGACTGAGAATTGCATAAACTAATGCATGTAATACACATATCATAGTGCTTGGACATAGTAAGAATTTGTCTGTTGGATGATGGCTGATTACTAGATTGTGATCTCCCTGAAGGCAGGTTCTGGTCGTCTTAGGAAAAACAAGCACAGAGAATGGTTCTTAGTATATTATATAGGCCATGTATGTTGAATTTACATCTATAAAATCAAATACTCTGTTTCTTTCGAACAGTTTTAACACAGGCTAAGCGATATGCTTTTTTCATGCCCACACTGCCAAGTTTGGTCTCTTTTTGTCGAGCATTTCCTCCACTGTATGAGGACATTATGTCTTTGCTGATCCAGATAGGGCAAGTCTGTGCCTCTGATGTTGCCACTCAGACAAGAGATATTGATCCAATTATTACACGTAAGTGGTAACTTGTCTTCAAGAGTTATTTTAATATCTCAAAAAATCAGAATCCTTTACAGATTTCTTGCCTTAATTTTTTCCCCTGTGTTTTTAGGTCTTCAACAAATAAAGGAGAAACCAAGTGGGTGGTCTGGAATCTTTAAAGAGCTGTCTTATAAAAATGGATCAAGGGACACTGGAAGTATGGATCCTGATGTACAGCTCTGCCATTGTATTGAAAGCACGATAATTGAAATAATAAATATGAGTGTTAGTGGAATTTAAAAAACAACAACAAAAATGAAGCAGTTTGCTACTTATATGCAACATGATTCTGCATCTTGTTACAACTTGAAACTGAATAGGAAAAGCAATGTCTTGGAATCACTAAAATGATTCAACATTTCAACATGAATACAGTTTAGAACTCTCTCAAGAGTTTTGTTTGATTGGCAGTTCTTTGGATCTACTTACTGTATGTTGTAGCAACTGAGCTTTTTTTCTGTTTGGGGCACATTTAAGAAACTCAGTTCTAGGAAGTGAATTTGGCCTTATTTTAAGCTTCTGAAGTGAAGAAAAACTGCCATGCCTTTAATTTCTTATAAAAATGAGTCTATGGGGAGTCCTAATATTTATTTCAACTGTCAGCATGCAAAAGTGATACAATGATGAGAGGGAGAAAAGGGAAGGGTGGGAGAATTAAGAAAAAAAGGAGGAGTTAAATACCCAAATACTAATCTCTAAAATTTGCAATTCAAGTAATAGTAATGCAAGATGAAATTCCAATTCTCCAGAAATACTATTGTGAAGGCTTAACAAAAAGGCAAATAACTTTTTGCAAATGATTTTTCATGGAGTTACAGATGATGATTTTAAGATTTTTACATATATGCTTCAATTTTTATTAATATATGAAGCCATATGTTTAAAGAGATACTTGAATTTGGAATTTTAAGATACTGGTTTAAAAGTGTTTACAGAAACATCTTTGTGCAGTGGAGATCCTGAAAGGAGGTCTCATTTAGGTTTTTTTTTTTAATTTATTTTTATAATGCTTTATTAACTTATCTAACGGTGGAGGGGGGGAATCCATGGACATCTAACTAAAAGTTAGAGCAATAAAACCCACTGGTTAAGGAGCTCTGGGTTTATTATCAGGATTATAATTCACAACATAATTTTAGATCTTTGAATAAGAAAATATGTAGTGTTTGGACCTCAGGAAAAATTAAAGTGCAGAAAACACCATGTGGCTTAAGGATTTTGCAGTCCTCTGTTAGTAACTTCCATTGATTAGGTAGATACATACATAATCCTCTTTTTTTCTTAATCAAGTGTCCATTGTAGAACGTACTTTGCTGAGATGTACTGGAATGACACACTTTCTCCCCCAACCCCACTCAAAATAGACCTCTCACTAAGCAGGCTGACAAGAAAGTGTGTTTTTTAAAGAAAAGAAATTTAACTTCAGCTTTTCCACAAAGCAAATAGTCACATCTCATTTTCCTTCTTTGTAAAATGGGATTACTACTGGCCCTACCTCATAAGGGTATTATATAAGAACTAATTAGTTGTTTCAAATCATGAAATGCACAACATCATATATGATAGAATATACCTTTTATTAGATGCTTAATGTTCATTAAGTAATTTTAATGCAAAAATAAAAGCATACACTTAAGAAAATACTGTGAGTATTTTCATATTTTTAAACAAGGCAATTTTGTAGTCTTCTAAGATTAAATACAACTGCTCCAGGTTTTTTATTTTGTTTGTTTTTTAAAACTGACTTTGGGATATTTTGTGTGAGTATCTAACTTCTGGGAGTTCAAAAAAGACTGAAATGTGTTTTTAACCTTACTGCAGTGCACATTCCTGGATCAATTTTTAAAAACAAGTCAAAACCTGCTGTGTTAAAATAATAACATGCTGATTTTCATCAGATTTGTTGATGATGTACATAAAATGTGTAAATGTATTAGTAAATGTTAATAGTCATGTATTTTAAGTTAAGGTTATAAAATTTATCACAATGTGATTTTTTTAATACAAGTGAAAACAGATGTGTGCAGCTATTTTGAATACTGGATTATAAACATTCATTTTCTTTATCTAATGAATGAATTTGTAGTTTTTTGTATTTCATTTCACTACTTTTAACCTGAAAGGAACAGTTCAAGGGACTGGAATTTAGTACTGTTTGGGTCCAGAGCCAATGCATATCCCTTTTGGTTATCCTGCATACATCAAATGGCAGTACAAAGTTAGAGTCAGTTGAGAACCTTATTAGGAATTTAGAAGAGTAAAATCTGAGTACTACTATAGTTACTGGAACGATTACTTAAAAGGTTTTATATTAAAAGTTTTGTGGAAGTTGAGGGGATCCTGTACTTCCAAAATACCAACGATGATGTAACATTACCCCAATTAAAAAAAAAATTGTGAAAGAATAAGTTTGAAAGTATTTCTAAGGATTTTTCTTTAATAATTTTTCCTTCATTCCATTGCCTTAATTGTAAATTACAGTTTTTGTTTTTTCCCCTTTTGCTTATGGCTATCTTCACATAAGTGAAGTCAGTTTCTCTCCCACCCCCACCCCCCATTTACTTCATATGGAATTTTTTTCTTGGCAGTTTTTGTAATTATTCAATTGCCTTCACAATTATAATGAATTAATATAATATCCCCATTACTAAACCAGGATAAATTCTTCACCCTGAAATAACTAAAGAGTAGAATTTGTTTTTATAAGTTTTTTCATTTTGGGAAAAGTGGTAAAACCAAAGCTGAGGTAAACTTGCCTCTTTCAGTAAGCGTCTCCCAAATTTGAGAAATTCATCTCAGGTTTTGCTTTTTTAGGTCACTAGTGTTCCGGCCAAATTTAGGGAATAGAGAGTTTTTTTAAATAACAATTTAGCGAGACCATGATTAAACTCCTGCCTTTGAAAAGACAAGCATGCTTTTTGGCAAGGAATAAACTTTAGGAGAGCTAGAAGGTGGTTGAAGCCTTAAGTCTGAAGATTTCGAGAACGTTTTTCTGGTTGAATTTGGTGTGTGGGGAAACCCTGAATATTATGACATTGTGGCCAGTCGTGACAGAGCTTTTTACTTAGTTTTGCTCACTGATCTGGCAATTCCCGCCTGCCTTTTTCCATGCCCGGACTACCTTAAATCTCAGAAATTTAAACTGGCACTAATCTGATCAATGCCCAGAGCAGAACTCGGTAAGGCTTAAAGGCAATTCCTTTCCGCCGGTCTACAGGCCTTAAGAAAGAGGCCTCGAATTTCTAAGGAAACTGACGCACGAGGTCAGTCATTCGTTTCAGTAAGTCAAACGACGAACTCCCCTTTTCTTTAAACTCCGGGATTTACGACACTCTGCCGCTCCCCGGGCGCTCGTCTTCCGGGGCCGCCGAGTTGCCGGGAGTCTACGCTCACGGCGTGCGCTGCCATTGGGTGCCGGTGTGCGCGCCCCCTCGCCTCGCGCCGCCATTGGCTGCTTGTTTCAGGTCTGAGCAGGCGACTGGTTGTCCGCGCTCGCGGCGATTGGACGCTGGGATCGGGGGCGGGAGGCGCGAATTTTTCGGGAGCGAGTTAATGGGGCGAGAGGAGAAGCTGGGAGCGAAGGTAAAGTGGTTCCGAGCCCGCGATCCCGCCTGAGGAGAAGCAGCCCGGCGAGCAAGAGCGAGAGGCTTGTGACCTTTCCCCTGTGCAGCGCTTGGTTTTATTTGCTTTCAGATAGCGGGCTCCTCCTCTCCGGCGAGGGGGGCCCTGCTCGCTGCGCCCTGGTTTTCTCAGAGCGGGCACGCCTGTCCCCGGAGGGCGCCCAGCCTGGCCGGAGGGGCCGCGGGCTTCGCACGGCCGCTCTGCGGGGCCCTTGGGTGCTGACTGAACCTCCAGGGCCCTGGGGTTCCCCCCGGGGGAGGGGGGAGGGGAGCCTGAGGAGATGGAGCCTGTCCTTACTGCAGGGACCAGCGGCCCGTGAGGCGCCCGCCTACTTCTGGGCGGGAGGCGGAGGGGCTGGTTTATCCTTTACTCGGGTGGGGAGGACGCTCCGGCGTGTGCGCTGCCCGCTGTCCCCGCGGGGCGGGGCCGGGGTGGTTTATGAGTTACAGGTGAGGACCGAGGCCGGCGCTGAGCTGGTTCAGTCAGGGCGGCAGAGACCACCAGATCTCACTCTCAGAGCTGCTCAGAATCACAAGATGTTAGGGAAACTAACCTAGAATAGTGGTTCCTGACTTCTGGAATGTGTAAGCCGTGGTTAAGTTTCATAATCTTTAAAATAGCTGTTTTTATTATCCCTCCTTTCCAAATTGAATTTACCACGTTTTTTCACTATTGCAAGTAATTCCTCAGTTGGTAACAGTGTTTGTCATCCTCCTACCCTCCCCCTCCCCGTTTTCAATTTAGACTATATTTCTGAGAATGAGAAATTTAGGGACCTTTTTTTTTTTTTTTTTTTTAGAAAAATGCAATCATGCATGCAATATCAAAGTTCAGTCTCTGAATTTCATCAATGGATCCTAGGTTAGGAAAAGATGTTTTAGAAGGAGTGGGGATTAAAAGTAGAGCTCTTTCTGTGTCATATACTGGAGTTTGGGCCTGTATATATTTCTTTATTTACTTAACTCTGTGTCTGGCAAATGGTTGTAAAAACTATCAGGTAGGTAGTTATATCCCCATTTAATATGTAAACAAACAGACCTGAGTGGTTAAGTGATTCACTCAGTAGAATGCACATTTAAACTTGCCTTGGGCCAAAGACTATCTTCTTTCCATTGTTACACTCCTGACCTTTAAATAAGATCTCTTGAGCACTTGCTCCATGCCAAGGTGTTTTTTCCTTATAACAGTTTTAAAATTAGGGGTTATTCTGTGTCATGTACTGGAATTTAGGCCTGTATACATTCCTTTTATTTACTTCTTAATTCTGTGTCTGGCAAATGGTTGTAAAAACCCTATCAGGTAGGTAGTTATAGCTCCATTTAATAGGTAAAGAAACAGACCTTAGTGGGCAAGTGATTCACACAGTAGAATTAGCATTTAAACTTGGCCTTGAGGCAAAGACTATCTTCTTTCCATTGTTACACTTCTGATCTTTAAGTAAGATTTATTGAGCACTTGCTCCATGCTAAGGTGTTTTTTCCTTATAACAGTTTTAAAATTAGGGATTATTGCAGATAGACATCTTAGTCTAGAGAATGAAGAGACATGTCTAGATCCTGATCTAGAATCATGTTATTAGCTTATTAATTCCTCACTCCAGTGCTTTTCCCTTCTAACTGGAAGACTAAAAAGAAAATAAGGTACAGAACAGAAGAAGAAAGAGAATAGTGCTGTTGAGGTTACAGAGAGTTGCCTCAATAAGCTAGTTTCTAAAAGTTGATTATATCTCATCTAATAATTATTGCAAGAGCTCATGTTTAGTGGGGCATGACTGTATCCTTCTAGGACAATATTTCAGTTAATCTTCATAACAATCCTATGAGGTAGATATTGTTACTATCCTTGTATTATAGATGAGGATGGTGAGGTTGTAAAAGCCAGAGAAGTAGTTTGCCCAGAGTCCTACAACTAAATACATGTGAGGCATCGAAGACAAGCTCTCAATCTTGTGATTTATAACCTTAGGAAATATTTTTGCTTCCATTAATTTATATGTTTGTTCCAATTTTTATTTCTGGACTTGGAGTGTAGGCAATCTGGTTTTCTTTGACTGTTTCTATATTGATTTTAATTTCCTTTGCAGTCAGCAGTTAAAGAATCTGAAGTAAACAAGAAAGCATTATGTCTTCAGAATGGTCTGAATATACAATTGGTGGAGTGAAGATTAATTTTCCTTGTAAAGCTTATCCATCACAGCTTGCTATGATGAATTCTGTAAGTATTTTTCAGTATTTAAGTTTATTAAGATATAGGTGCTTATGAATCATAACATACATTTGGTCTGTGACTGATACCGGAATTGTCAGGCCTAGTCTCTCAACCAGGAACGGATCCCAGGCTGCAGGGCAGCACTGAGCCCCGGCCACTAGACCCCCACGGGTTGGTGTCTCACGAAGCCGCAGCAGGGACTTCGCAGACGCTCAGGCAAGCAAGCGAGAAGAGGCAGGTTTGTTTAGAAGAAAAAGTTTATTGAGGAGAAAAAGAACAGAAATAAAGTGGGACTCCCAGGCCAGGGAACCAGGCCTGGGAGGGGCAAGGAAGCCAAAGTGGAGTTGTGTCTCAGGGAATATATACCTTTTTTCCCTCATTATTCTAAAGCTCCACCAGTCTCTCTGTGATTGGTGAGTTCTTGGCTGTCTCACTTAATTTGCTACTGAGCGGGGGATCTTCACATTCCTTATCTAGCAGCTTTTTCTTTCCCCATTTGTTGCATCTTTAAATTTATGGCCCAGTCTTCTGGATGGGCATCCCTGCATTGAAGTTAAACAGCTGCCCTTCTAATGTGTCCATAAATTAAACCACTCTCCATTTCTCCAATCTCCGCCTCCCTTTACCACCTGAAGGAAACCAGGACTAGCATTAACAATGTTGTCCTTGGTTCTGGGATGTTTGTTTTTCCTAGTGGAATGGGTTACTTTCCTTTGGTTGTCCTTATCTCTGAAGCCTCCCTAAATTCTTCAGAGGTCCCCTCCTGCACTGTCCCTAAAACTGCCTAATTTCTAGCTTGCCCTGTGTCTCATGACTACATTCATTTTCTCCAGATAGTAAATAGGTTAAAGATATTTGCTAGGTTCTTTGAAGAACATCTAATCTTTGGGAAAATAATACTGATCACTTAAGTGATCAGTATGTCCATGGTTAGGGAGGCAAAGGAGAACATTCTGAGAAATATACATATTTTAATTGGAACTTCTGTTTACTTTACTCAATTACTGCTTTCCACAAGCTACCTACTGTCTTTTACAGAGTACTGTATTTCTCACCATAGTATTTTTGGGGTGTTTCAACCATATAGAAAATTACATATACAAACTGAGTAAACCAGCTTTCCTGCTTTGTTAAATCTAAGTGTTTTGCCACATTCATTTTATATCTTGTTTATGATTAACGACATTACTAGTATCCTAAATTTGTTCTTTCTCTTTCCTTGCCATGTTTTTATACTTGCATCATATGTGTATTTATTCATAAGTAATATAAAGTATTACTTTACATATTTTTGGGCTTTGCAAAATGATATGATACTATGCCTATCTTTCTGAAGAATTTGATTTTTTTTTTGCTTAACTTTATTTTTAAGATATAGCCTTTTGTTTATTAATCCATTTCAATTGCTGTATAGTATTCCACTGTATGTATATACCAGGATTTTAGTTGCCCATTTTTCTTTTTTAAGATTTATTTATTTATTTATTTATGCATACAAGAGCTGGAGTGTAGGCCAGAGGTGCGGAGAAGTGAGAGGATTCACCAGAGACCGCAAGGAGCAGAACAGGGAGATTCACTGAAATAAGCTGTTGAGGGGAGCAGTGGGCGAGACAGGAGAAATCTGCTGCACCATGTGGGTTCACTCCCTGGCCTGGGATTGAACTCATGCTGCAGTAGCTGCGGATAACTTCATAGTGCTGAGACTTAACCCCTTGCGCCACCAGAGAGGCCCAGTTGTCCACTTTTCTATTGATAGACATTTAGGTTTTTTGCAGTTACAAAAAATGCTGCTGAGAACTTTCTTACACATATTTCTACTTAAAAACTTGTGAGAGTTGGGTGTCTTCAACTTTACTAGAGATTGTTGTAATAATTTATATTGCCACTAGCAGTATCCCCCATTAAGTTCTCATTAAAGATATTAGAATATATATGCTAGTTTTATAGAAATGGTGGTGATTTAAGGCACAAGCTGCATTTGGCATTTTTGGTGCCCATTAGGCTTTGAAGCTCACATAATTTGAGGGAGAAGTGTAGATGTAACTAATTATTAGTTCTCTCTTCTGTTCTTCTGCTATTGCTATATTCCCTACAGTGCAACTTTACTTATTGTTGTATTTGTACTTCTGATGGAGACCCAAATGAAGTAACTTGTTTATGAATTTTTTTATATTTTTATGTCCATAGATTGTCAGAGGATTAAACAGTAAACAGCATTGTTTACTGGAGAGTCCCACAGGAAGTGGGAAAAGCTTAGCCTTACTTTGTTCTGCTTTAGCATGGCAACAGTCTCTTAGTGGTAAGTAGTTGTTGGATACCTTCTGTTGCTTATTGGGACCTGAAAAAAATAATAAAGTATTTTTATATCCAGAATGGTTCAATTTTGGTCTAGCTGATTAAAATATTCCCATTTACTGCTGAGGGCTGCTGCAACATATGTGGGTTAGCCCCTGGTCGGGGTTCTAACTCAAGCTGCAGTGGTGGGCCATTGCAGCACTTAACCAACCCTTGGGCCACCAGGGAAGCCCATAACTGGCATTTTATTTATTTATTTATTTATTTATTTAAAAGATTTATTTATTTATTTATGCAAGCACTGGGTACAGTTAGAAGCGTGGGAGGGTAAGAGAATTCACCAGAGCCAGAGCGGAGAGCAGAGCAGGCAGAAAGACCGAAGTACACTGCTGGGGGAGCAGCGGGCAGCAGGAGAGGTCTGTGCACCATGCGGGACCCTCCTCCGGTGGCCAGGGAGTAGCCGGGGATCGAACCTGCGCTGCAGAGACTGCAGGCAGCTTCGCAACCCAGCGCTCAACCGCTGCGCCACCGGGAAGGCCCCATAACTGGCATTTTAAGCGAGGTTCCCACATGGCACGCAGACCTCTCCTGCTGCACCTGCTGCTCCCCTCAACAGTGTATTTCGTCGGTCTGCCTGTTCTGTTCCCTCCTCTGGCTCTGGTGAATTCTCTCACCCTCCCATGCTTCTGACTGTACCCAGTGCTTGTATAAATAAATCTTAAAAGAAAATAGCAGTTGTAGGAAATATACCTTAGTTCTTTATTTTAATACCCCCTGCTTGATATTTTAATAAATACAGTATAAACTAATAATCAAGTGATTGTGTCTTTATTACATTATTAACCTTTGACTATTACTAGATTTTTGTAAGTTATATAAATTGATAATATATTCTCTTTGTTTTTGGCATGAATATTTCTTTTTTGTCCTAGTTTGATGCAGCAGATAGGGTAACCAACTTGTCCAGATTTGCCAGGGATTTTCCTGGCTTTAGTACTAAACATCTTATATCCTGGGAAACCTAATTCTGGGCTAATTGGAGTGATTGCTTACCTTACTGCAAAGAAAGATTAATTTTTTTAATTAAAAATACTATAAATTTTTTTTCCTCTTTTTTAGGGAAACCAGTGGATGAAGGCTTAAATAAAAAAGCTGAAGTACCATTATCATGTTGTTGTACATGCCATTCAAAGAACTTTACAAACAATGTGAATCAAGAATCTTCACATCATTTCAGCAGTCCAAGTACACCACCTTCTGAAAGAAATAGAAGCTCTTCACGAGCTTGTAATGGTAATTTATATTTTTCTTTTTTCTCCTAATTATGTTTACTGAGATAATGTTGGTTTACAGCACTATATATATTTTAGGGAGACAGGGTCATTCTCTGCAAATATGTTAAGTAATTTATATTTTGCCTGGAACTATTGCTATCTGTAATAAGAGTCTTAATTATTGTTATTATGAGACCTATAAATGTTACTTGCACTAATTTTTATGACTTCTTATCTAAGACTCTCCTGAGAAAACTACTTTGGCTGCAAAGCTGTCTGCCAAAAAACAGACATCCACATACAGAGGTGAAAATGATGATTTTCAAGTGGAGAAGAAAAGAATCAGACCCTTAGAAACTACACAACAGGTAAATGGAGTTTATTGCAGTGAAACAATACTGTTAGTAGTCAGTGAAGGAGGTAGTTAGTTTATCAATCTACTTTTTAGTGACACTTGTTGACACAGAGATTAGTTGGGTCATGTCACAAACATTAAATGGTAAGTGATTGTAACTTCATTTTATATAGTTATTTATCACAAAGGAGTTTGCTATAGATTATTCAAGATAATGTGTCATAATGAAATTACATGGTGCTTTCTTATAAGGAATTTGACATAAAGTACCTACTTAAGATATATGTTGGTGGGCCTCCCCAGTGGCACAGCGGTTGAGCACTGGGCTGCAAGCTGCGCGCAGCCGCTGCAGTGCCGGTTCAATCCCTGGCCGCTGGCGAAGGTGCACAGACCTTCGCCAGCGGCCCACATGGTGCGCAGACCTCTTCTGGTGCTCCTGCTGCTCCCCTCAGCAGTGTACTTTGTCAGTCTGCCTGTTCTACTCCCCGCTCTGGCTCTGGTGAATTTTCTCACCCTCCCAAGCCTCTGGCCTGTACCCCAGCTCTTGTATAAATAAATAAATCTTTAAAAAAAAAAAAGAAATGAATTCATGGAGATCCCTTCCCCTCCAAGAATGTGTGCATATATTGGATGTTGTAGGCTCCAAAGTATATAGCATGTATACCCCAAATTCATTGACTCATTTCTCTTTTGGTAGAAAAGACATTATCAATTGAAATGCTTTTTTTCCTCTCTATAATTTAAGTAAATGGGTTTTTGGGAAGTTGGAAAAAGCATAGACAGTTTGGGAAGAAAACCTAGTATTTATAAAAGAAATTTAGTGAGATATAACTTTATTATCAAATATCTAATAGAAATCAATTTATTCTGTCATGTAGGAATCATGAGTATTTACATTTTAAACTTTTATTCTGACTGTTTCATCCTAGAATAAACTAAAATTTTAGTTACTTTTCCCATTAGATATGTAATTAAACTTTACTATAAAACTATACTTAGTGTCCTATCATGAGTCAATTTTATGGGAAGGTCATTTTATAATACTCTGATATGTCACTAAAAAAAGTTATTTTGGTTAAGATTTAAGAGATATTACTGTATTCTATTTAAGTTTTATAGTGAGGTACATATTTTTGTTTTAAAAATTATTTGATTGTCAATTAGAAGTAATTTTTTTTTTTTTAATTTTATTTATTTATACAAGCACTGGGCACAGTCAGAAGCGCGAGAGGGTGAGAGAATTCACCAGAGCCAGAGCGGGGAGCAGAGCAGGCAGAAGGACCGAAGTACACTGCTGAGGGGAGCAGCGGGCGGCAGGAGAGGTCTGCGGGCCATGTGGGACCCTCCTCTGGTGGCCGGGGAGCATTCGGGGATCGAACCGGTGGTTGCAGAGGCTGCAGGCAGCTTCGCAACCCAGCGCTCAACCGCTGCGCCACAGGGGAGGCCCAATCATTTTTTTTTTAATGCTCAGAACACATTATAGTTATTTTGACCTTGGGAACAACTACCCTGATCAGACTTTTTGTTTATATTAAACTTGGTTTAAATTTTGGTTCTGTGTTTAAGATTAGAAAACGTCATTGTTTTGAGAAGGAGGCACAGCATTTAGATGCAACAGTTGCACCGGGAAAGACTACACAACTCAACTCCCCTTTAGGAAAGATAAACTCCTATTCTCCACAAAAGGTATGTATTTATGCCATCTATCAGGTTGAGAAAGGAAAATAATGGATTTTGCTAAATCCAGTTTTGAAAAATAAGAGGAAGAATGGTATCATTCAAAGAACAGTAGAAAACAACTCTGGTACAAGCTATTGTGTATCAAATAACTCTGGTATGAATGTGTGAGATGGTAACCTCTTTGTGTCCCAGTTTTCCTCATTCAGGCAACAACAGTTTTGCTTTTAGTCATTAAAGAATAATTTTCTTTTCCATAATTTCCATATCTGGCATTTTTATTTTGTGTAGAAAAACTGGGTCGAAGGCCAGAGGTGTAGGGGTGGTAAGGGGATTCACCAGAGACAGAGTAGGGAACAGAACAGGCAGAATGACTGAAATATACTGCTGAGGGCTGCTGCAACATATGTGGGTTAGCCCCTGGTCGGGGTTCTAACTCAAGCTGCAGTGGTGGGCCATTGCAGCACTTAACCAACCCTTGGGCCACCAGGGAAGCCCATAACTGGCATTTTATTTATTTATTTATTTATTTATTTAAAAGATTTATTTATTTATGTATTTAAAAGATTTATTTATTTATTTATGCAAGCACTGGGTACAGTTAGAAGCGTGGGAGGGTAAGAGAATTCACCAGAGCCAGAGCGGAGAGCAGAGCAGGCAGAAAGACCGAAGTACACTGCTGGGGGAGCAGCGGGCAGCAGGAGAGGTCTGTGCACCATGCGGGACCCTCCTCCGGTGGCCAGGGAGTAGCCGGGGATCGAACCTGCGCTGCAGAGACTGCAGGCAGCTTCGCAACCCAGCGCTCAACCGCTGCGCCACCGGGAAGGCCCCATAACTGGCATTTTAAATTTAATTTTGAAATCAACAAATAACTATGAACAAGAGACACTCTATGGAGGGTGAGGGGTGGGAGTGGGGAAAGGAGGGCTTGGGGTAAAAATAAGGGGGTTGTAATTGTATGGGTAATATAAAAATAAAATTTAAATTAAAAAATAAATAAAAATAAATTAATTAATTTAATTTTGGATATTGCAGTTTTTACCTTGTGGGTGATAGATGTTATATTTCTATAAATGCCCTGGAGTTTTGAGACACAGGTAAGATACTTCAAATTAGCTCAATCTTTTGGGCCTTGCTTTTAGGGTTTGTTAGGTGGGACCTGAGCAGGGTGTAGTTTCAAGTTACCTCAATAGAAGGTAGTCCTGGGGCCTCCTTGGTGGCACAAGGGTTAAGTACCGCATATGAAGCAATCCACAGCCTCTGCAGCACAAGTTCAATCCCTGGCCAGGGAGCAACTCACATGGCCAGCAGACCTCTCCTCACTGTCCAGCTGCTCCCCTCAGCAGTGTATTTCAGTATATCCGCCTGTTCTGTTTCCCACTCTGTCTCTGGTGAATCCTCTCACCCGCCACACCTCTGGCCTATACCCCAGTTCTTGTATGCATAAATAAATAAATCTTTAAAAAAAATAATAAAGGGTAGTCCTCCTGAGTTCTCTACTTAGTGCTAAATGAATTGTCAGATTTCTCAGCCTGGCTAGTTGGAACAGGTACTACTCCATGCCTACTGAGTGCCATCATAATTAAACATGCGTAAAGCAGATTTATCAGACATCAAAGTACTTTTGCAATGACAGAGAGACCATATGGTTGAGCTCTAATTGTTCTTTTTTTCTTGTAGACTATATAGTATAACCTATTAGTACCACCCTTTTATCTACAGTTCACCATTGATCAGAACAGCTTAAGCAGTAGAATGTTATCATTGTGATATTATTTTGTTCCACTATTAATTATCATTTTCCCTATATTTTATTTACATTCTCTTCCTTTTTGTAAATCTTCATTATGGGTGAGTTATCTCAAAGATATACACCTATGCCTACCTTTGATTTTTTTATTTATTAAAATTTTACTTGTTTATTAAATTTTTACTTGTTTATTAAATGCTAACATTGTCTGCATATTTTTATGAAAGTTATTCTTTATTTAGTGTAGTATTCTGTGAAGATTTATTATTTTTTAGTTTGTAACTTTGGCATAGTATGTAGAGGAGATGTGGGTCCAGCAGAGTGCGCTGTTGACCTTCAGGTGAAGTGTTGATATTGGACAAAAGTTTTGGCTATTTTTCTCCTTTCAAACCCCTGGCTTTTGTTTATCTCCACCCTTCTCCCTTATTCCCACTTTGCCTCCCTCCCTTCCTCTTTTCCTTCAATATTTAAGATGTTCTCTAATATTTCAGGGAAAGAAATTATGAATTTTTTATTAAAGTACTTTATAAGTCATTTTCTCATAGTCTTCATTTACTTTCATTTGACATAAATGCTTATATAGTGATACAATGCATAATAGGCCAGAAGCTCCTCTAAACACTAACTCACATGGTGAATAGCAGTTCATGAGTTTAGAGCTAATTGCAAGTTCTTTTAACTCATGTATATTTGACAGTTTTCAAAATAAAAGTATTTTAATTCAAACCTTATAGTAACCCTGTGAAGACGATATTAGTATCGTCTTCAGTGACAGATGAGGAAATTGAGGTACAGAGAATTTAAGTAGCTTGTTCATGTCACAAAGCTGATGAGTAGAGGCTCATTTTAAAGCCAGGCAGTCTGGCTCTAGAATTAATCTTCTCAACCACCTCATTATTCTACCTCTGTATAAACTCTTCCAGATTATGTTTGGGTGAAAGATAGTTCATTTTTGTACTGTACCAGGTCATATTATATGCAGTCTCATATAGGTGATTAAGATTAGTTCCATTTTTGGTTTCTCAATATCCTGTCCTTTATAATGCTTACCAAAGTTTATAATTACTGGATAATATGTATTTTTAGATTTAATTATTTTGTGGCTTCCTTGCCAGGCTGTCCATAGAGAAATGTCTTTTGTTCACTTTTTATGGCCACTATCAGGCACAGGACCTGTACCTAGTAGGTACTTACATGTTTGTTGAATAAATGGGTGAAAAAATTGCCAAGATTAAGGACCTGCACTTTTTTTCCCTCAGGGACCATTCATAGGAGGACAGGAGAAGAGACAAGTTAAGATCTTCTTTTAAGTTTGTCTGTTCCTAGACTCTTATCAGAAATCTGAGGTTTGGAATTTAGAGCGAAGAAAGTTAGTTGCATTTCTACTTTATAGTTTTTATCAGATTGATTAGTTTCAATAAGAAATTAAACTTGGGCCTCCCTGGTGGCACTGCAGTTGAGCGCTGGGTTGCGAAGCTGCTGCAGCCTCTGCAGCACCGTTTAGATCCCTGGCCACCGGGCGAGAGTCCCACATGGCGCGCAGACCTCTCCTGCTGCCCGCTGCTCCCCCAGCAGTGTACTTCGTCTGTCTGCCTGTTCTGCTCGCTGCTCTGGCTCTGGTGAATTCTCTCACCCTCCTGCGCTTCTGACTATACCCAGTGCTTGTATAAATAAATAAATCTTTAAAAAAAAAAAGAAACTAAACTTTCACAAGTCCAATAAGCAATTTAGAAGTTTTTATTCACCCAGTAAGCATTCTGTACAGCTTATTAGCAAGTCCAAAGTAACTCCGCAGTTTTTACCTTAAACAGTCTAGACTTTAAGATTAGGAAAACACAGGGAAATAGAATTCTCTGACTATGGAATGGATCAGAACAGTATCTTAAGGTAGACAGAAGGAGAGTCCAGTTTCCCCATAGCTGGAAAGCATCAAAGACATGCAGTAATCTTTGCACTGGCACAAAGATCCAGGTACCTTCTTGCTGATACTAGGGGCAGCTCCCCACACCAGCTAGCTACAGTGGGTCCATCATGTTGGTCCCCAGCATTTTACCTCTTGCCTTGGTGATGGCAAAAGAGGTTTCGCTGGAGATGAGTGTTAAAGCTGAGGATCCCATTTATGGGCCAGATTTTTGTATTTGGACCAGGCAGTATTCACAGAAAGATTAGGTGCTTTTTATTTAGAGTCTGGGTCAAATTTGTCTAGTTTTAAAAAATGCGGCCCAAGGGCAAGTTCCATGGAACTGAGATAGAACAGTATCAACCTCTAATATTTTGCTTGCTATTTATTCTTACACACACACACACACACACACACACACACACACACAATTAGTTATCCATTGCTGTGTAACAAACCACTTATTTAGCTTACTTTCTGGGGGTCAGCAAATTAGGCAGGACTCAGTTGGGCATTTCTTCTGCTGATCTCAGCTGGGCCACTCATGCGTCTGTGGTCAGCTGCAGGTCAGCTGCAAGTCAGCAAGGTGCTCTGCTTCAGGAAGTTGGTTGGCAGTCAGCTGGGAACTTTAAGTTGGTTTTTCTCAGGCTAATTCTGGCTATTGTATATGGTGGCTCCAGGGTTTCAGGAGCAACAAGTGAGTAAATCCCAATGTGCAAATACCTTTTGAGCTTATTTTGTGTCATATTTGCTACTGTTCTAGTCACCAAAGCAAGTCACATGGCTAAATATAGATTCAAGGGGTAGAGTTCATCTTTTGGTAAGAAGAGCTACAAAGTGACCTTGCAAAGGGACTTATATAGAGAGATAGGTAGAATTTACAATCATTTTGTCATACACACACACACACACACACTATAGTAAGAATATAAAATATATTTGTTATACATGGACTATTTATAAAATTGAGATTTTAGTGCAATATAGCATTTATTTTTTACTTAATATATGTCATGGCCTTAGAAAGGATTTTAAAAATCCAAATTTTAACTGGTCTGTTTGGATGCATACTTTTTGATCTAATCCTTTTTTCGTTAAAGATTTTATTTATTTTTGCATAGAAGAACTGAGATGTAGGCCAGAGGTGTAGGGGTTAGGGTAAGAGGATTCATCAGAGACAGAGTGGGGGGCAGAACAGGCAGATGTACTGAAATACACTGCTGAGGGGGACAGCGGGTAAAACCAAAGAAATCTGCTGTGCTATTTGAGTTTGCTCCCTGGCTGGGGATCAAACTCAGGGCATTGCCATTGCAGTGGACCTTTGTGGTGGTAGTGCTGAGACTTAGCCCCTAGGCCACC